TAGACTTCCAACAACGCGAACATCAGTTCTGAACTTCTGATACCGCGAGCATATTTCTCGACCCGCGTACAGAGATCCGAAACAAGTTTCTATGCCGCTGTGTAGTTGACATGTTTTAATGGTTTTTCATATACCTTTTGAAATCTCCATTGGTGTCATCTACTCGAATAGTGTATTTTTCTATATTATATTATATTATTTCTTTGATATTAGTTGTGTGTCATTATTGAAGTTTTTTCGTCTTAAATTGATTGAATATATTGGGCTTTGTATAAAAAACCTCCTACCTCATACCCACCTACCCATGCCTACGTGGGACATGATACAGTCTTTGAAAGGTTCAATTTTAAATATTATAAAATCTTAGTTTATGATGACTTATAGATGAATTAATGCGCCCATATGCCTTTATTTATGGATTTGTCATCTGTCTAGTCATAAAATGAAGCCAGAATTTCAGAAGCCTTAATAATTTGAGCTATTTTGATTTCATGTCTGCTTTTAATTTTTCGAAATGATTTTTGATGACCGGAGAGTCTGGCTTTGTATAAAAAAAACTCGTACCAACGTTCGTGGGTCTTGACACAGTCTTTGAAAGTGAAGTTTTAATTTTGTCAATTGTATCTCCCAGAACTCCTTAACATTTTTGCAATTCCGGCTTTATTTTATGACTAGACAGTTGACAAATACATCTAGATAAATAAAAGGCATATGGGTGCATTAATTCATCTATAATTCAACATAAACTAAGATTTAATAATCTGTAAAACTGAACCCTTCAAAGACTGTGTCATGTCCCACGTACGTGAGTAGGTGGGTGCGAAGTAGGAGTTTTTTTATACAAACCCCTTATATCCCGATCGTGTAACAGACCTTCTCCCTTACATATGAGTCACGGTAGCGGTCCCAGATGTTTCTAACTCTTGGGTTGTGGACCATGATATGTTCTTCATCATCAGCCTTGTGATGATATTGAAGGGGGGTTGGGGTGGTTGTAGTTCAAGTAGAGTTGAGTTGAGTCATGGGCTTTCAATTATATCGGTATCAACGGTTCTTTTTGGTTTATTGGTTGTGCCTGATTGTGTTTTGATGGGTTGATTAAATCGATTAGTATTTAGTTGAGCCTTGTTGTGTAATGGTGGATTACTGTCAGGTAGGTACCGTGGTATAGGTTTTGACGAATTGTGTTGTGTCAGTTTGAGAGTGGGTTGTCTTTTGATGGTTATTAGCCGGTCTGGTGATTTAATATCGGGTTGTGCCCCATTGTGAATTATGTTAATTTTATAATGGGTTGTGTTCTCTTGTGAATATGTTATGTTGGTTAGGTAGCCGGTTGTGGCTAGTCGGGTGAGGTATCTGGTTGTGTCTGATTGTGTTGTGTGATTGGCGTTGTCTCCAATTTGGAGTAAATTAGTTGTATATATTGGTATTACAGTTTGATTGTGTTTTTTGCTTGTGCCTGATTTTGTTTTGATTGTTTGGTTTTGGGTTTTGGAAAATTGTGTTGTGTTACTTGAACAATGGGTTGTGTTTGCTTTTGTTTACCATTGGGTTGTGCCAAATTGTGTCCAGGTGATAATTTCACAATTCGTTGTGTTTTCGTGGTTGTTAGTTTAGTTGTGTTGTGTTGTGCACAATTGTGTTGAGTTAATTCAACAATTGGTTGTGTTTGCCTTTGTTGTATTATCATTGGGTTGTGACATATTGTGTTAATTTGACAGTTGGTTGAGTTTTGGTGGTTGTAAGTCAGGTTGCGCTATGCTGGGTTTGGTGCTGGGTTATGCTCTATTTCGTTCTGTGTATGTTATCACTGGGTTATATTCTATTGCTCTGTTGTATGATTGGTGATCTAGGTTGTGTTTGGTTGTAATAGGCTATATAGGTCGTGTTACGGGCTGCGCCCGATCAGGTTGTGGTGTATTATTGGGTTAAGATACAAACAGCCGGTTTAGGCTATTGTCCTGTATTATGTTGTTGGTACATCAGTTGATTCTGGGTAGAATGAAAGGGTATATTAATATGTTTGTACACATTAGTATGCTATAGGTTTGGTACCTACACGTACATGCATGTATCTCATACTTGAGTGGGTTTGGGGTAGATATCACCCGGGAATATATATCGTATCTGAGGAGCGGGCAGGATATATTGTATATGTCCCGTTCCAGGCCAAATGCGGGTAGATATAATATATCCATCCCGCTCCCGGGAATTTTTCAAAAGTTTAAAAAAGTTTAAATATCAAAAGTTTTAATTTTAAAATTTAATTTTTTTAAGTTTAATGTTACAATTTCATTGTATTGAACAAAAAGAATATTACGAAAATGTTAAATTTAAATATCTTGTCATTTGAAAAAGGTGGAAAGGGGTATATCAACCCTAAACCCACTCAAGTATGAGATACACCAGTTATGCACGGTCGGTTTGGATACATGGAATATCCCTTGGGATATACAATACATCTTCCCTAGGTCCCTTCGGTCCCTCGGGAAGATATATTGTATATCCCTCGGGATATTCCCTGTATCCAAAACCTCCCAGTGCATAACCCCTATATATGCAATCTCTTGTGTGAGATATTCAACCGGTATGATGGGCGTTAGCTTTGCGTCGTTCTCTGATGAGGGAGTCTCATGTTGTTCAATGAATCCAAGAAAAACAATGCTAATTTATCTTTTTACATAATATATTTTTGTTGATTTTTCATAAAAAAACAGGGGAGATATACTTTTATTGCATAAATTATATATTTGTGTCACTTTTTATGATCAAATATGTTACTTTGCTTCCATCAAGTCGATATTTTTATTTATCTGATCTTGAATTATTACCAAAATATACAGCTGCAATAACATGAAATTAAAGGTCCATGTGAAATATGGCAAGTGATTTGCCATCTTGGGCTTGGGCAAGGCTACGAAGTACGAATGCCTATATGGTTTATTATGTCTAAGAAACTATTTATTGGAATCACTCCATAATAAACCTTGTGCATATGCTTAAGATAGAATATTCTTCTTTTGAGTGAAATAAAAAATATGCCATATGAGTAAATAGGTGTTGCAATAGATGTCAACTATTTGCTGGATGGATTTCACTCACGCTTCACTTATACCATTTGTTAAGATTGCGTATGCTCCTTTGGAACTAATTATAGCATTGATACTTATAATGACATATTTAAAAAGATAATGAGGTCAAAGGGGATATGATGATATTACGCCAAGCGTGCATGTTTTCATGTAAGTCAAAACGCACTTGCTGCATTCTTAATATTCTCAGGAAAAAACAAGTAAACGCAAATGTGCACACTAATTTCGAATATCAAATATTATTTTTACCGAAAACAGCAATGTTTACGCTGAAGGTCGGCTATATATTCCTGTATAGCCGCCAAACTTTTTGCCATGACATTCGGTCGCAAGCTGGGGCTATATTGATGACAGACCTCAGACATATGTTCGATGATAGGGACACAATGGAGACATTGGTATATGTCTGCCTAGGGGAGGGGCATGCTTTCGGGACACCCTGTATAATATACACTGCTACTGTTTAAATGAAGATCAACAACAGAAGCACGGAACAACTTTGTTCGTTGGGTTAATAAGCAAAAGTCAGCAGAAGTGAAAATGTATAACAGACAATTTTGATAGCGAGGTAAAAAGGTCATCAGTTTTCATATCAAGAAACATCCTTGGAAAGTTAAGACCAATTTATCATACACTAGTAAGTGCAGACAAGAAAAGTTAGATGCCAACTCCTAACTATCATACATCAAGCCCGACACCAAGCTGACAATATCGTACCTTTTTGGGTGTGATAAAAAATTATTAATAACAAAAGAATAGTGCAGTTTTGCTTTCTTTTATATTGTCAAATATCTGTACTATTACAGTAAGAGAAATGACACATACACACTAAACATTGAATAAAATGCACATTCAAACACTTTTAACTTGTTATCTATACAATATGGTACAATATTTACAGAAATCTGTTTATAAAGCCTTTTCACAACGTTTAACATAGTCAGTCACTGAACCTAACTAAATATAGAAAAATAAACATGTACTGTATCTTTGCTAATCACTACAATTATCCACGTGCAGAGTCGGGTTATAAAACTCTCTTTTAAAGGCGAAGTCGAACGAGTGCAAAGGGTAACCACTAATAATACCCTCTGTAAAGAAAATGTGTATAATAATTTATCAATCATATTTTTTCAATATTTTGTATAATTTCACTGAACTCCTTTAGGCATATGGTGTACATGTAAATATCGTAAATTACTGTTGAAAATCTTGACAAATTAGAAGAAAAGGATGGGTATTAAAATGGTGAACTTTTTGAACACATGTTTCTGTTATAAAAGAATTCTGAAAATTTTACACATCGTCAATTTAATGGGTATCTTTTGAATGGTAACAATATAGTTTGAAATAAATATATATATATTTCTCTTAATTGTTTTAGAAAACACCTCGGCCACTCATTTTGTTCTTGGTATCATCTTTTCGGAATGGAATGAAACATCTATCCGAACCTCATTGGAACAAAATGACATAAACACCATGTGTTTATGTCTCTCAATTTTATAATATTGTACAAAGGAAAGTTTGGTTGATTTAAGAAAAGTATCTTATTAATGAAATAAAAGGTTTATCTAATCTTTATCTCTTTTTGTTTTGATATTTTGAATACTTTTTGTTAAATCAACCAAAATTTCCTTTGTATAACTATAATAATGAGAGGTCTTAGAAAATTTTGTACATGCTATTTTGTTCCAATTTTATTTATTTCTCAAGAATTGGTAGAAAGGAACAAAAAGCAATTGCACTAAAAAACAAAAAATGTTAACAGAAACAGTTATATAAATTATATATAAATAATTTTCGCATTTAATTGTTGTCAATCAGTCAAAATTACATAAAGGACTGTGTTTTTTACAGAGTGTTTGCAATAATTGGTTTAAGAGAAAAACATTGTTGAATTCAGTTCACCATATTGATACCAATCCTTTAAAAAAGTTAGCAATGGTTAAAAACATTATCTCACAAACTCACTAATGTGACTTTTTTCATAAATTACAATTTGCCATTTTGCACTGTAATACATTTTCCTCTATAGCTAGGATATAATTTTCTATATATCGAATTTTTCATACCATTGTAAAGCCTGTCTTAAACTGTTCATGACTGAGGGGTTTGAAATAAACATTATAACACATTGACAGAATGTTATCTTAGTGCCCAAACCCATCTAAAACATGATTTTAAGCCGATTTTGAAATTTTGCGGCTATTATATTTCGCTAATTTCATGCTTCTTTGAAATTTCACGGCTATTAGTTTTAGCAGATTTGTGACCTAATTTGTCATGCTTCTCTTTCTAAGTTGGCATTTTCCTTAAAAAAACATCATTTCCCTTTCAATATCAGCCATGCTTTTCCCTTCACCCTAAGATTTTGGCTTCGTTTTGAGCCATTTTGTGAATGTTCATTTCAAATATGATCAAAACTCGCAAAATATAGAAGCACGTGAAAATTACCAGGAGTACTTAAACTCTCTATCTCAAATGTAATAATTTAAATCGTGATATACATCCTTGTGCCTAATGCTGAAAATTTATCTGTTTCATTCATTATTGAGATTTAAATAAATCAAACAATCAGCGATCCTATATTTTTCATCCTGAAAGCCCAACAGTAATCAGTTGAAGTGACAGAGAGAAAATCTAATATGGCCACCTTAAAAATTACTCCAAAAACCAAACAGTTGTTGATTTACATATAAAAAATAATCCTAATAAAAAATTCAGATTAATCCATCAAACTGTTTGTACAAATTATACAAAGCTGTAATATCCCTGTGAAGGAACTCAAACTGGTAGTTATGATGACAGAACCATTTGTTGAACAAAATAGAAACAGGCCTGATATGATTTTTCTTCTTGATTCCCAAAGTGTGCCAAGTTTAAAGTTCATGCCAGTTAACTAACTCTTATAACATTCAAGCCTGTTCTCCCCACAAAAAACCATCAGTCGTATGGAAAGAAAGATTGGAAGATCACAGACTTGAATCCTTTCTGAATTTTATTTTTATTGCATAGTGCTACTTGTATCATGCACATAACATGCTGAGATTTATATCATTGGGGATGCTGGTATGTCAATATTTTGCACTTTTCTTGTTCTCTGGTTCTAGCATATATAGCTGGTAGTTTGGTTGTAGATTGAATGATTCTTGTGTTTGAGCATATTATCTAGCCTTGTGTAAATGTCACACAATACAATCCCTTGCTCTGAGAGACCACACACTAGACCTGCGTATACCAGTTGTTGGACGCGCTATACTTGAGAATGGAAATTTATTGATCTCTATGTTTTTCAAGTTCTGCTTTAATGTCTTTATGGAAGAGTCCTTCATCATACCGAACACATCGAATGCTAGTAGAGTATGCACTCCACCAAGAAGCCTGGAAATAGAAATAAAACAAAGTAATGCACAAAAATTCTGAAGTGACTTAAACATTCATTCAACTTTAAAAGTTCCATTTAAGAAGTAGAGACAAGTTTAATAGTGGGTCATAAGAGAATGGCAAGAATGTTTCTAAAGAAATTATGCATCAATATTTTTATTTTATTATTATCTTTCACAACGTGAAAACAAACTTACAAGTCATGTTGAAATATATTTGTTTATTTCAATACTGCAGGCTATGTTTTAAACATTAACATTTATTTTACAACACAGAATTGATTTATTATTCGTGTATTGTGGTGGCAAATCGCAAAAATATGAATATGCGAATATAATCAAATGTACAAATCAGCGAAAATTGCTCCCGCAAATTAAAAGTGTTTTACAGTATTTCAAAATGGTGAACAGAAGCAGATGTAAAGTCAAAACTTTTCAAGTGATTTGTGTAGAGATTTTTGAGAAATTGCTTGACTGTATGGACAAATAGACATACAGATGGGGAAAATAACTAGACAACAGCAACGCCAAAGTGTAGCAAATCCCATTGAACAGCCATGGCTGGCATTTTTACAAACAAAGTATATAGCAAAAATGCAAGCCATTTTTCAAAATGGCCACCTTCTATCAAAAGTGTTATTAGACAGTGTGCCATGTGTATAGTATTCACATACCAAATATGAACAAAATCGCTCCACTATTTTCCGAATCATAAAATGGTGGCCATTTTTCAAAATGGCCACCTTCTACAAAAAGTGTCATTAGACAGTGTGCCATGCTTATAGTATTCACATACCAAATATGAACAAAATCGCTACACTACTTTTCGAGTCCGGACAGACAGACGGATGGAGGCGTTCCCTATATCCCTCCAAACTTCCTTCTATGGGATAATAAAATGGTAGCACAACTTACATGAATGATGACAGGGCAACATTATAACATCGACTCAGGGCAAGGTACTCTAAACCATGCAGATATTTCACTGCATGTTCCACAGTGGCCTGTGTTAGTACAGTTGCATCACTAAGGTCTAGTTCCTTCAGATGAGGCAGTCTTCGACATAAGTGGAGTACATCTGCAAAAATATTATAGACTTTCATACCAATACACACCAGAATAGCCTGACAACGGTAAAGTCAAATACCGTTGTCACAAATGGCAGACATAACCGTCGCTTCAACTCTTTAATCACTTGGTCTTCGTTTCATTGGACTTTATTGTCGCTAATTCTGTGCATGTGTTAAGCTCGTGTGATGATGTATTATATGAAATCCCAATTTCTATCAAATGGGGTCGTGAATCACCACAATATAGCATATTCGATATCGTCAATGACAATGGAATCTGAATTTGAAATAACTTACAACGACATATGGTAAGATGTGACAACGGACTATGGTGGATGTATTGCATTGGAACATAGGAAAATGACAATGGTAAATAGACACTTTACCGTTGGATTCCAAGGCTTACCTTCATCATTGAGGAGTTCCTTGCATCCACTGATATTGAGCTTGGTAACTCTGGGTGGCAAACATACAGCTACCAACTGGATGGTGTCTCTATCTAACTCAGTCCATGCAAGGTTCAATGACTCTAAGCTGAAATTATCAAACATATCAATTCATTGTATATTCAAAGAAATACAAATGAGAAATACTGGGGTAACATTTTCACTTCAATTAAAGTAATATCAAGATACTTATACGTACGCTAAGCAGTTTGATATGATGGCATCAAGACCGGCTGATGTTATGCCGCTACACATGGCTAAGTTCAGGGTGTCCAACCCCATATTCTCACCAATTGACCTGAAACATTTATCAAAAATCTAAATTGTCATTAGACGTGTAATATGGTTTCAAGAAATCACATGTGAAATATTAACAAGATCAGTCCACTACTTTTCCATCTAAAGCAAAAATGTAAAATAACACATATAAAAACTGCAGCATTTAATGAAATGGCTGCCTATTAGACAATTGTATATGTTATCCCTAAAATACTGTAAAATTAACACTATAGCAGCCATATTGAAACCAGTGGTCATTTTGAAAATCGGCTTATGAGCAGAACTTATATCTGCATGGAGCAGAACTTGTAATCACATGGGGCATACAACATGTATGAAATATTAATGATAATGGGCAAACCGTTTTTGAGTTATTGCCCAGATAGATGGATGTAAGTATCACAGTATGTATGGACGGACAGAGCTATTCTCTATATCCCTGACCTGAACTTCATTGGATGGGATAACTAAGTAAAATTGTCCGCACCAAATATTTAATTCAGACTTTTATAAAACAAGTTTTTTATTTAATGGACTCAATAGGTTAAGTGGGACGTGGGTTAAGTTTAAAGTGTGAAGGTTCAGATGATTTAATTTGACAGGAAAAATGTAAATCTATTTGAACTGAGAATGAACCTACTGCAAGATCTCTAGATTAAGTGGACAGTGTTCAAGACTCAGTTTCTTCAACTGTTGACAGCTTTCAAAGATTTCTTCTAATGTTGATGATGTCACTACAGCCATAGAGAGGTCTAAGTATTGCACACGTGACATGCTGTAAGAGAACAAATTCACAATCCTACAATCATTATATTAATTTCAATGTTTTTTTAATCTAGTGTTCATCCAAAAACAAACAAACCAGCTCACAAAGTAAATACAGTAGATTCATGTTACAAATATTCCATAGTGACTAAGACTCTAATGAATTAGTTAGCAAAACTCTATTAATTTCAGACTAGTAAATTAATAACTTACCAAGATGAGTGTAAACTAGTAGACAAATCTGTAAACACTGGAGACAGCACCTGAATATAACATGGAATTAATTATGCTAATAACATCTAGGATCAAACTAATAATAAACTGCAGCAGATAAATGGGAGATTGTACCTGCAATCTACATAAAGGTCTGAGAGAAAATGGATATTTGTATATCCAAGGTATTTTGACTTAAGTTTAACACAGGAGTGTAAATGAACTGAACAATATATTTTGTCTATGCTTTGTCATTTGATCAGTGTTGAAATTGATAGACTAATAATTCCAAAATTGTATGTTCACATTAAAATAAGCTATGGGATCAGAGCAAAATTAAACAAAACACACAATGATAAATATTCAAGCTTATTAAGCAGAATGTAATCCATTATTGTCTTGAAATAACAATGAGTTGCAGCTTATATCATTTATATGGGGAAAGTCTTGTAGATTTCTTGCTATTCTAGGTTAATCACAATTTTTTTTGTAAGGTCACAATAATTCATTGTATACTTGTCCCCCCATATATCAATCTTGGTGAAAGAGGAATGTATAGACAGTTAGACATTGTTAAGTGAATCTTAGAACCTCCTCTCCATACCTCAGCCTTGGCAAGTCTAAGCACCATGACACCTCTATTTAGTAAACGTCCCATAACACCCGGCAGGAGCACCTTATTGGCCAAGTCAAGTCTTCTCCACAGAGATTCATCAAAACTAAACAAATGAAAATTGAAAAATAGAGTAGCAAATCCCACTGAATTAATAATATTTTATCATATCACCCATCATTTTGAACATAACGGGACAGAAAGGTTTGTGTAAAAAACTGGTTGACCGGGTAGGCCTACCTAACATTCCCAGCAGGGTTAGGAGTTTGATTTTTTCATAATCATACGATCATAATCAATCGTAAAAAAATTCATAAGGATGAATCTTATATTGTTCTACTGGGTCTCGATCTGCAGATTCAAATGTGGGAGCATTTATATCTGGGAACATTAAGTACCCACTCACCAATCCACCCAGTTTTTTACACAAACCCCTAAAGTAACTAGGAAGTATTAGAATAGTATTGTTTCTTTTGGGCAAAATCTCAACACCAATAATGTAATATGTCATATTATGAATTCCTGCTTCTGCCTTTCTCTCTCATCTTTCCTGTCTTTTTATATATCGATTGATAAAACAATGGTATAAGCGGATCTTATTTAGCAGTATGTTGTCTCAAGCCAGGTCCAGTTGACCTGTTTGTTACTAAGTTGGAGAATTTTTCCAAATACCCTGTGTCAAGTGGATGCAAATCCAACAATTTATGTATTTAAAGGTGATATTCTTAAGTACTGGTAATGAGGCAATATTCTGGTGTTGCATCTAGTTTCAAGTGTGTTTTGGGTTGGGGGGGGGGGGGTGTCAGGGTATGAATGTAATACAAGGTAAATTCCAATAAGCACCAACCTAAAGCCCTATAATAAGATTTTTCAGCCTTTAGGAAAACTTGACAACAGGCTAGCAATTCAATTTTCAAGTGGGATTGAAGTTATTACAGCGTACTAATAATATATACTATTGTTTTTTCTCACTTTTTCTGCAGATTCAAGAGATGTGGCCATCACACTATACTGGTTAACAAGACATGGAAGACAAGAATTACCTTACAAAGGTTTTTAACTTACGCTAAACGGTTCCACCTTTTGCAAACCCTAGCATTCTTGGCCAGCATGGACTTAGGGATCCACTTAAAAATACTAAGCACCATTTCATCCGAGAGGATGTTAAAAGGACCTGAAAATATATATTAAGGATATGAAAGATAAGGTGAAATAAATCGGTTTCGGATTCTATTAGATGAAAAAATATAGATTCACCTGATTTTTCAAACTTCATATTTGCACATCTGATGTGATATACCAAATTATCCTACACTTAGTGTGCTAAATGTATAATAACATTAAAAAATAAATTTGGCAAAAGAATAACTGGAGGATATCGCCACGATATACTCCGGAAAAGCAATATGCGGAGGATATTGTGACGTTATACACTTTATAATATCGCACTTTGTGATCACTAAGTTACATTTTTGATCTACAAAGATTACTGCAAATTCCAATAGCATTCCATGTATTTCCAAAACAGATGCAAAAGAGCTTTAAAATGCTTTTTATTTGAAGCTTCTAGCTCGATTTTGAAGGAAGTTGCATCAATTTTTGTAAAATTCAAAACAATTTTTGCCTTGCTTATGCCATGATCACATCCCTGACTGAAAAGCCCCAAAAATTAGGTGATAGCACCCCCTGACTTAACCGAAAAAAATTGGCGACCGCACCCCCTGGCTGAAAGCTGGCTACACCCCTGCCTGAGATATATACATGGTTAGATCTATGTTGTAATTCTTACACTGTCCATCATTCTCTTCGCATTTGTCCATTGTTGATATCCTCCTGAGAAAGTCATTATTCAGTTCCACAATTCTTGGAGTACTTGGAGATGGTATGTTCTGTGATGTAGAAAAACTTGGTGCTCCAGGTACCCTAGGAGCCTGAAATAGGAGGAATTCAAATGTAGGTTTCTGCATGTGTACATGTGAATCGCTGTAACATTTTCTTGCCATTTTCATGTTTAATCCTTGCTTATTTACAACTCACTCCTACTTGTTGTTATATCCTTTGCTGGTAATGGATGATTGTATACATAAAACATGAAACTACATGTATGGGTATGTTATAATAACTAATTATAGATCAGTTTGAGAAATAGTGTAAATAACAATGCTAATTTACTAAATTTATGCAACCAATATTGTAAGTAGCAGCACTTCAGCTTCCTGATTGTTTTAAATATCAGGTCATTGTTTACCTGGAGGCATAAAAATACTGTGTGATGAAGACTGTATTTTTGTATGCCCTAGGTGCTAGTAAATTGCGTGATATTTTAATGAGGTTTCTCCCCAGGTATCACTAAAAGAACAATAAGCCAAGCAGTGCAAATTACATGCTCAAGTGTTTTCAACAAAAATAGCTTATCCAAGCGCACCTACACTCACATAATTCTTTTGAAAGATACGACAGTTTATTGCAGTGGAACCCCTGCGGTGCACTAGCAACGAGCAGACGCGGTTGACACACGCGAGCAGCCGACAAGGCTGCCACAGCATATTAGCTGTTTAAGTGCGCTTTGATGAAATGCACTAGCCCGCTGGCTTTTCGGGCTTGAAGTTCGATATAGTGAATTTCAAATATAACTAATAAGAAATAAATCATCAAAACATTGGAAATATATACATACATTTGGTGGGTTGTTTATGTCAGGGATTGTTATATTTGGAGTAGGGTTGAGGGTTGCCCCATCACAGCTATCCTCATCCAGGAGAGATACCCCCATGTCTTCTAGTATTGCCTCTGTACTCTCGTCATCAACATCCCATGTAGTCCTCTGTTCATTCTCACTAATCTTACGTTTACGTCTTGTTGTCATCCTGACATAAAATGTATATTATTTCATTTATTACTTAAATCTACATGTACAATAAGCCTATACAATTTATTTTGCCTATTGCCTAATTTCTGCCAGGTTCGGAAAATTGAATGTTGGAGATATTACCTTTATAATGTCATTCAATGAGGGGTTTCTTGTCATAAGGAAAATGATAAAATTTGACCATTCACCAAATTAACCACTTGGATTAAATACCACTTATACAGTATGTCATCAACTCAGGAATGCAACTAGCTACAGAATAATATGTTGTCAAGATGTCACAATTATACATTTAGGCATTTTTGCATGTTCTGAATTTTCTTGGAGCCGTACTATCAACTTGCCTACGATGCACTGAATACTAGTTTAATAACATAAACAGACAATTATATGAATATATATAAATTATATGAATATATGAAAAGAATATGATATCTCGCTACACGTTTAGTAGCTTTAGCGAAATCCTATTATAATAATTTTGTTTCTTGGTGTTCATATAGATTTGCATAACGACCAGAGGAACGGGTTCCAACGAAGTTGAAATTGCTTGCACTGTTGGACATTATACTTATAGAACGAAGGATTTACGATAATTAAGAACTCAAGAATTACATTTTCAACTGTATAAATGAGACAGGAAATAAGTGGGCTGGTCAAATAAAGGGTAGGTCTCCAACTAACATCATAATTTTAACATTTATGAGTGCCAAATTCTGCGACAATCTATTCAATGGTATGCGAGATGTCCCTAGAGTAGGACTAGGGACATCTTGAAGTCTAGAAAAATCAAGTGCATATATTTTAAGAAGAAAGGTATGGTGAAGAAGATGTTAGGCCATAAGGTTGCTTATACTCTTAGTACAGGGATTTTTGATTTGTTTGGCGGTATTTTTCGTTCCTGGCCTGGCTGGATATTTCATTTTTACTCAGCAGCACTATTCTAACACCATTTGTTAAGTTTTCTGATGAATCGATTATCACATGTGTACATCGAGTAAATGCCTCTATACTTACTTAGTTTTAGATTTACCAATTGCTCGTTCAATCGAGATTGAGGAATTATTCTTCTCTTTAGTAGTCAAAATATTCTTCGATTTTGCCGCCATTCCAACAAACTCTCGCGGGTTCACGCTCTCGTCATTTCTCGATAGCTTACATGTACCTTCACCTTAAAATTTCGTAAGTTTTTAATTTCCTTTTATATCACTGGTATGTAGATCAGTTTTTTGTAGTAAAATGACATAGAGATTTTGATGTAATCATCTGAGTTAATATGAAAGAAAATTCCATGCAATTCTATGTATAGAGTTAGAGTAGCCTTACACTTTATTGTGGCATTTTTCAACTCGCAGGATATAGCCTATTATCGCCCACCGGGTGCCCATCACGGTGTAAAAGGCCAGGGTAGGAGATCAAATTATGCTCATACTCTTCATTGATTTATATGGTGACCCCTTTCCCTAATTATCTTATACACAATCAGTGCTAGAAAGGGCCGTTAACAAAGGGGACCATACACCTCATTACAGGGGGAACCTTCTTTTTGCTCCATTGAGATACATTGACCACAGCTGGTCTCTGGGTAATAAGAGTGTGGGTGGTGTCCGCCCTGCAAACAGATAAATCAAATGTATCTGTTTGCATGGTTATCGCATCCTACGACCCCTTTAGATTGTGGTCGTACGCCCGATTCATTGGTAAGCCTGTCTTTCTACAATGTCGGAGAATGAACTACGCATTGCACTATTAAATGACCTACCTCGATACATTCCAGAGTATTTTAGAATTCTTTTTATGTTGTTAGATAGATCGCCAATTGTATGGGATTATTGGCAGAACGAAGATATTTTCGTTTTTGATAGTAATATTTGCGTGTAATATTTAACTTATTTCAACCGTCAAATTCCTCCATTCAGTTCCCGGCATGCACCAGTCATAAGGGAAATCCCTGGGGAATTCCCCTTCCAACATTTTGAAAATTGCTGACATATTTCTGATGTAAAAACTAAAATCTCTTCGTTCTGCTGATAAACCCATACAATTGACGATCTAACAACATAAAAAGAATTCTAAAATACTCTGGAATGTATCGAGGTAGGTCATTTAATAGTGCAATGCGTAGTTCATTCTCCGACATTGTAGAAAGACATGTGACGTCAGAATTCCAATGATGTTTTAACACATAAAAGCCTGGATCAAGTGAAAAATATATGCCTTATTAAAAGTTAAATTACTGCGTCCAAGGGTTATTTACTCAAACCAAACAAGTAGAAATAGAAAGATGCAGATCTCAGCTCTAAATTAAGTGCAAAATCTGTCACGGGGAAGAAGGTACAATTTTTTATAAGGAACGTTTTGAAAGGTGGTCAGTTCTGGTCACTGACGCATGAGATCCTACTACAAAACGATCTGGCCAACATCTTTGATAAATGTATAAAAAACAAGAAAATTCAGAGAAAAATTTCAGAAAATTTTCTTACTGAATTTTCTTGTTTTTTTATACACTTTACAAAACAAATCTTCTTTTTGTGAAGGGTTAAACCTATACTTTATGTTTTTTGAAATGCAAATGAGATGTAAATGAGTATCATTGTGATGTCATAATTCAAGATGGCGCATATGGATTTTTTTACAAAATGGAATTATTTTGGCATTTCATTTTTTATTCAAAAATCTGATTTGATAGAATTATAGATCTTTTTAAATGCTGATTTCAGTGGTATGTGTACGATGGCATAACTCTTGCAAATACATTTTTTAGAGCATCGAGACTGAAAATTCCCAGAAAATCCCTATGCCGATTTAACATGGAATTTTTTCGTTTTCACTATTTTTTGCGCCTTTCAAGCTTCAGACCCCTGTAACTACGTAAATTCTTAACGAAAAGTCATGAACTTATTTTTAAAATGTTAGTGCAGACTTCAAGATTAGAGAGATTGATAAATCATAAAATCATGCATTTTTATCATCAGGGGTACCTTGGAGACCGCTTAGAACAAAATTGTCACTATAACAACGATTTTGCTTTATTGCTATTTATTGTTAAGGGGTTTTAATAAACTGCAAGAATAATGCATTTTCTGAAAGTACGGACCAGTAGGAATATCCTAAAAAAAGATAGTCTGAATCCAACAATTTTGTGCAAAGTTACAGGCACCTGAATCTGCCATATTCCGAAAAGAATTGAAAACTATAAAATCTGATGTTAGATCCTCATAGGGGTTTTCGGTCTCGATAACGAAATGTTGTGATGTAAGCAAGTATCTACTTACCAGTATGTTCTATGTCATCTATCAGACTATGTTACATTGTGAAACTCTGTTCGTTCGTCCGTTGTTTTTCTGGATGATAACTCAAATACCGGTTGTTGGATTAGATTCAAATTTTATAGGGTTATGCCTTATGGTTGTAGGACCTAAGCTCGAGAAAGAATTTGAATATGGCCGCTTAACTTAAAATGGCTGCCATTTTTCGTAAAAATGTAATCTTTAATATCTCAAATATCAGTGGGGGAATTTGGTTTAAATTGTATATGGTATGCTGATGCGGATTGATATTGGTGAACTTTTTGAACACAAGTATCTCTTTATTCCAATCATCAAAACATTCTGAAAATTTTACACGCCGTCAATTTCATCTTTTGGATGGTAACATTATAATTTGAAATATGGATATACTATTCTCTACATTGTTTTAGAAAATATATCAGACACTTCTTTTGTTCTTGGTATCATATGCTCGGAATGAAATGAAACATCTTTCAGAACATCATTGGAACAAAATGACATAAACACAACTTGTTAATATGTCTCTCAATATTGTAATTGCAAGTTTGGTTGATTTTAAAGAGTACTGTATCTTACTGAAATAAATGATTTATCTTAATTTTTATCTATTTTGGGGTTTTTTGTTTTTTTGAATACTTTTTTTTAAACCAACCAAAATTTCCTTTGTATAACTATAATATTGAAAGGTCTAAGTAAATGTTGCTATATGTTCCAACAAACTTCGGAAAGATATTTTATTTCATTCTCAAGAATTAGTAGAAAGGAACAAAAATCAATTGCACTAAAAAATGAAAAATGTTAACAAAAATAGTTATACAAAACATATATAAATAAACTTTTTGCACCCATCATGAAATTATGAGGCCACTAAGTTTGAAGGTGGTGACATAATGCCCTGTCTATGTAAACAACAACACCATGTAACCCCACCATTACCCACAGCACTATTAATTTATATCATGTTATATTCTAAAAGATTTGATTTGATTCAATGGAATTTCTTTTTGTTCAGTGGGATTTGCTACTCTGGGGAATTGCTACATTCTCATTGAGTTAATAAGCTCATTTTATTTTCATGAATTTTTAAGGAGATGGGTGCTGGAACATCAACTGAAGCTGCTTTAACATTGGCCAATACCAACGATGTAACAGAGACAGGTAAAGCAAGTAACAACTGGGCAAAGATGGCTCCTGGACCAACTAAGCCTACTCATAGACAGCAGTCACAGTTTGATATAAAAGACATACCCAGTGAGTGTCCCATGCACCAGTCCCAGGAGGCAGTAGCAGTTCCAGCTCAGAGATTCCCAAGTGAATGTCCTATGCATCAGGCTGAACTTGGGGCTGGAGATGCTCCCAATCTTGATCCTACCAACATGGTGAGTAATATATGAGTAAATTGGCTTGTGCAACAAATAATCCTAAAAAATAAGGGAGTCGGTTATTATTCCATTGAACGAAATTCGGAGGGATATAGGGAACGCCTCCGTCCATCTGTACGTCCGTCCATCCAGGCAGTAACTCAAATACTGTTAGCCAGATTTTGTTCATATTTTGTACATATATACCCTATGGGGGTAGAAGTTCTGCTCGAAAGCTGATTTTCAAAATGGTCACTCATTTTTATTTTAGTGCCGATTTTACGATTTTTGCTGTAAGTTGAAAAGTAGTAGAGCGATTTTGTTTATATATTTGGTATGTGAATACTATAAACATGCCACACTGTCTAATGACACTTTTGGTAGAAGGCAGCCATTTTGAAAATGGCCGCCATTTTAACATATTTTACTGTAACTCGAAAAGTAGTGGAGCAATTATGTTCATATTTGGTATTTGAATACTATAAGCATGGCATATGTCTAATGACACTTTTGGTAGAAGGTGGCCATTTTTAAGATGAACATTTTCTTATAAGATGTAAAAAATATGAAATACTTAAAGAATGTTTGTACTAAGAATTAAAAGAAATTATTCCTAGTTTTGATTGTGATGACCCATATATTTTTAAAAGGTTAATGGCCTGAACACTTAACTGTTCAGTTACACATTGGAAAATTTATATATCATAGTTTCAGAATTTAGATTAATATGTTTAGTAGTGTACATCACACTGTATAATAATTATTTTTATAGTTAGAATAGTTGTAGTAGTAGTTTGTCGTGATTTAGTGACCAATGAATCATGTAACTGATATAAAATGTCAATAAAAGACATAATAATAATACTAAATACCTTACCTTCAGATGGAACCTCCCAACCAAAGGCCTGCCCCTGATCAACCATTTCCTCTTTCCACTGACAGGATCAAATCGTCCATACCAAAGGCAGATAAAGAGGGAGAAAAATGGGTATATCCCTCTCCTCAGATGTTCTGGAATGCAATGCTCAGGAAAGGTAAGACAATGTTGGTAGATTTATACAATTTGAAATGCAATAACTATCCCATTTAAGTTTTAACATATGAATTTTAAAATGTATAAAGTCCGATGTGATGTATAAATCCCCAAAGAGGCAATGGAATCAAGGTCATACCATAAATTAAGTAATCGGACATATAGAAACAAAAGATACTGGTCAATTGTAAGTAGTCTTTTAAGAAAATCTAAAAACAGTAAAATACCACTTCTCTATGCTTTTAGATGTAATAGTTATCTTGCAAAATTCACTTTTGGACCATTTTCTTTAAAACCTGTGTCGATGGCCGCCATTGTCTCGCGAAATTCACTTTTGGCCCATTTCCTGATTTTACATATAATTTCAGGTGTCCTGCATTGTAAAAAGCCATGTCACTGTACACACTGCCAACATGAATGGTATTGGAAAACCAGGTATTAATTATTGGCAGTGTGTACACAACATAGACATTATTCATTAGATATAGCATCCACATGAAAATAAAAAACAATGAAAAATAGATTTAGGCTATTAGGCTTATTTCCTGGTTTTTAATATCCCAATGAATGAAGTCCATCGGAAGTTCAGTTTGTCCATCTATAAGTCAGTCCGTCGAATACTTGTGGATAGATTTTCTCCAAAAGGGGTCAAACCAGACCAAGATTTAAACCCTAATTCATGTTTATCTTGACCAAATAAATAAGCTTGGTTTAAAATATTAGATTCTGTTAGTTTCAGAAGTCTTAACAAGTACTTTATGATAGAAAATTCAATTGAATAGATTTGAAAAAGGACAAATGCACTTCTAGATTATAGATGCAGATTCAAATGCAAATACTGTAGTCATCTTAGCTTTTTGTGTACTATACAGTATATGTACTGAACCCTTTCCACCTCTCCTGTCTCAGAAATTTCCCTCTGTCTGTCTACTTGAAGGGTGGCGCTGGAAGGATGATGACTTGAATCCAAATGATATGGCCCACATCATAAATATTCACAATGCAAACAATGAACAGGCCTGGCAGGAAGTACTCAAGTGGGAAGCTTTACATGCAAAGTATGTATATGATGATTAATAAATGAATAAAGGACCAGGTTTAGTATGGCAAGAGATTTTAGATGCTCATATCTTTCACCATGAGCATTTTCTCAATTCAAATATGACATTTCCCATTAACACAATATGTTATCTTTCAAGTAAATTCTCAAACAATTCGAAAAATTATGAATAGGGACCCCGTATCAACATTTATTTTAAAATATGGAACCTATTTACTCGAAAGAGGATCTTATTTTTCTGATTTTTATTGCACAAAAAGATTATTGAACAAGAGGTCTAGAACTCCTACAAAAGTAGAATGGATTGAAAGTCAAGTTTAAGAAATACCAATTTTCGATGACCAAAATTATGCTGAAAAAAAAGGATAGCATACAAAGGATGGAGTTTTTCCTATGGGAAAATAACATGGGATATGTGGTTTAATTTTATCTCTTTTCAATCCCAATCCCCTTTTCAGAAGTTGTTAACATAGTGTAGAATAAACTTTTGATTTATTTAAATTGAGAAAAACAAGATCATCTTTTAATAAGATAAGCCTAACATTTTTAAAAAAGCGACAACTTGGGTTCATAATCCATACTTTTTCAGAATATTGGTTGATATTTTTATGATCATGGGGACCTCACTTAAAAAAACATATTGTCTAAAAACACTGTATTTATGGCCAGAAATACTCATGATGAATGATATGACTGTCCAAAATCACTTGCCATACTAAATCTGGGCTTTTGAATTTGTATATGATAATATTCAAAATGGTGAGTAATTATCCCAATGAACAAAGTTCGGTAGGGATATATTGAAGCTGTCCGTCCGTCAGTCAGTTCGTCCGTAGGTCAGTCCATCTGCTTAAATTGGCCAAACACGGGACACATTGGTATGATATGGAACATTGGTGAGGTATACCACATGGCTAAGAATAAATAAATGCCAAATAAGAACAAAGAATTAAAAGAATAAAGATATTCTCAAGCTAACAATACAAGCAGCAACCTAGACATCTGTCTGTCTGCACAATAACTCATATATTAGTGGATAGTTTTGCTTCAAAATTGGTAGAAAGATGTATATTGGTGAATAGTTGTATGCAAAATTTTTTTTTCAAGATGGCTACTGCTTTAGAAATGGCGGGAATATTTGGCGAAAATCTTTAGTTTTTCATTTTGAACCAAAGATCTCTTCAAAGTATGGCTATATTATACTCAAATTGAAGGAAATATGGGTTGGATCACAATTATCGTATTGTTTTTCTGATTTGTGCCTCAGAAAATTCAAAATGGCTGCTTAACACAAATCCGCTGTTACTTAGAGATTTTTTTGAAGTATGTTGACATACTTTATTAGATATAAAATATATTGTTTTTATTATTTGTGGCTTTGAAAAAACGGTGTAAATTCTGATATATCTCTTATGTACTGTACTCTTATGTAGTATGTATATATCTACCGATTATATTTCAAGGGAAGAGTAGATGTAAATATTACATTGTGACAAATACAGATTCATTTATGTTAAAGTGTTCATTGGGATATGCTACTCCGTGGAGTTGATATTCATGTTATATTTTATCACAGGGCCGTAGAGAGAGGGTGTTCGGAGGGTTCGTGCGAACCCCCCAAATTTTGAGTTAATTTTTTGCAGTGTATCAGTAATTTATCGTTTTTTGATTACCTTAGATATTCGAGGTACACTATATATATAGATGGAAATGAATGAGATGTATACTTTATCCTGAGTAAAATGACTGGTGAGAATACAGAAAAATGATCTATTTTGAGATGGTGATAATAGGTTTGCACTTTTAGGCTGTTCTTATAACACACAGTTAACCCCTTTAAAGGAATAAGTGATTTCTTTTAGACAAAGTGGAAAACAATATTTTTCATGTTATTTTCCCATAGGGAAAACTCATGCGATCCATTGCTTTCAGCTAATATCTTTAGAACCCCCGAAGGAATCACTTATTCAAAACACAACACATTGATACAAGAAAAATTAATAAAAAAGCAGGAGTAGAATGGGTTGAAAATCAGGAAAACATTTCAGAAAAAAACATGTGGGTGGGTTGTTTGAATCTTCCCTATCTCCAAGTCGAAATTATTTTATCATCTCTATGAGTGCTTTTCCTAGGGATAATGCATTTGCCTTACATATGCACCTGTTAAATCCTCAGAAAATAGCCAAAGTCCAACATTTGACTGTCCAAAATCTCTTTTGGCAAAGTTTAAGCAAATTTGGCAAAATTTAATCAAATAAGGCAGAGATTAAGCAAATTTGAAAAGGTTTTCACCAAATTCACCATTATTTTGCCAAAAAATTTCGAACCCCCTCCTGTCAAATCCTAGCTACGCCACTGTATCATAATACGTTATGCTATTACAGGGAATGTAGCAACCCAAGACTGAGAAAGTTTGGAGGCAAAGCTAAAGAATTCTCACCACGAGCAAGAATTAGAAGTTGGATGGGGTACGTAGACTTATTCTATGTCAAACACTGTACATGTATATTGTTAAAATTCTGACCCACTTGAAGTGTTATTTGGCCTCAATCGCAATGTTTGGTAACTTTTTTATGTCCCCACCACATAGTGTGGGGCCATATTGTCAGCCTAGGCGTGTCTGTGTGCATGTATGTCCTACATCTGTATGCAAATTTTCAGGGACCTACTTCCTGTCGACCATTTTGAAGTCAAATGCTGAAATCCTTGTCTGCAGACTTTAAGAAAATCGGCTTCTCAGTTACTTTTAAAACTATAACATCTTCTTTAACCTTTAGCATGCTGCCGGCGAGTGGAGTCGCCTGTGCTTTACTATCTCAAGTGACTGCCGGAGACTCCGGTCGACACACTGTTTAAACTTTAAAAAACTTTACTTTTTCGTGCATTCTTATTATCCAATAAGATTGCTTGTTTTATTCAGTGCCATACTTGACTTCTGGGTGACCTAGAAATGGCAATATTTTGAAAAGAAATTGTCTATTTAACAATTTAAATGGCATTTTAGCCGTTTTAAGTAGAGAAATCAAACAAAATGGCATCTAAATATGATCATAATAAAAATGTGGAGGATATGGACTGCTATTTTGAGCTCTTGAGGCTTTTGGAAGCTGATAATGGACATCGAAAATAGAAACTAGAATATTTTCTGAATTGATTTAGTCACTCCAAATTCAGTTTTGGATTCTGACTCGATGTTAAGTCTTCCCAGTGGCGTAGTGGTGGTTTCCGGAGGAGTATTCATAGTAAAGTATGCACAGTTGGGTTAATTCATTAAAAAAATAATTTTTTGATGACTTGTTTAAGAGAAACGTGTGTTCAAAAAGTTCACCATATCGATACCCATCCTTTCAAAATGGCAACCATGTTTCATAAAACGTAATCTTTGATAATTTAAATACCAGTCAATGGATTTGGCTCAAATTTTATATGGCTGCTATTTATCAAAACATGTTTTATTCTGTGGGATTTGCTACTCCGTGGAGTTGTTGTTTTTCTAGTTAACATTAATATACTAGTAGCACATAAGAGAACATTATTCTGTATTTTTTCAGTTATGAGCTTCCATTTGACAGACATGACTGGATTGTTGACCGTTGTGGCAAAGATGTGCGATACATTATTGACTATTATGATGGTGGGGCAGTAGACACTGACACCAATAGGTTTACGTTACTTGATGTCCGCCCTGCATTAGATTCACCAGGTGCCCTCTGGGATAGAATGAAAGTAGCATGGATGCGCTGGAAATATAGCAGTGTCGCAGCTGATGACATCGACCCTCACAGTGCCAAACAAAGTGGTGACAAATCTTAACCATAACTATGTGATGACTATTTTACAACTTACATCTAAATGGATAGTATTAAGGAATGAATGTTCAGTTAAAACACCCAAACTGGATACAGTATTATCTAAGTGTAGACACTACTGCACTGATTTAGGAGTTCTGTTGATAGTGTTTGCATAGGAGGTTTGTCTTCAGAAATGTGTTATCACATTAGGGTCGGTCTCAAAAGTGTGACAATGCTGCTCATATCACTGGTATTAGATTCACTATTGACAAAAGTCAAAATAGAATATCTTGCTAGGAAGGAGAAAACGTTGTTGACACAAATTTGAAGGTGCTTTAATGAGGCATGACATGTAAAGTGAAGTGAAATCAGGAATAATGTTTTATTTCTGTAAATATGAAAAAGCATTTAATCCATTCTTTTGGTTGTTTGTTGAGCAGTCTCTGAGTGTCAGAAAAATATGGTGAACAATATCGCACACTTGACTATTATAAGGGAATAATGTACGATTTCAGTGGCGACGAGTCCATTATCCAGAATGGCGATGAAGGTTCTCAGTCAATTTGATAACCCATGCCAGACCATTTCTTTCCTGATATGGTAGCTACATGTAGCTGTTACTATTATATATCGGGTGTCTCAAAAAATGTACCCAAAAGTAATTCAACAGCACAGATAAACCAATCAATATTTTCAGATCTACTTCAAATGTTCACACATGTTACATGGTAAGAAGTTGTGGAGCTGATTAACTTATTAGCAGCCATCATGAATTTTGGCAGCCATTTTGGAAGTTTTTAGATAACCCAACTACCAGTGGTATATCAGGAGAGGAATGGTCTGGAAAGGAATATTGCTTTAAGCAGTAACATGTGATGGGGTTGTTGGAAAAGTCAGTCATACCTGTATTCACATTGTATAAAATAAATGTTACACTTATTTATTGATAATTGTTATGAAAAACATGAGCATGTTTATTCTATGATGGATTCGAGTTAGGGGAGGCATCAAAAGCTCGATGTTGGATAGAAAACTAAATAAATCTAGTTAGGGGGGAGGGGGTTCAAACCCATTTCAGTTTGCTATCCGACAAATTTCAACATTTCAAATTTTTGGCAATTTCAACTCAGAATGCCTTGAAACGGTTTAAAAATAAAGATTTTACCTGATGCTTTCTTCGTCAAGATCATTCCATTGGATTATATTCTATCAATAGTTGTAAAAAGCGGCAAATTACAATAGAAATTAACAAAAACTAGATCGTGTTTAGCAATAATTTTTCAAATTCTCAAACCGGAAGTAAGCGATCAACTTTCACGGTATTTAGTTTTGGGGGGGGGAGGGGGGGGGGGTCTGAGTCAAAACTAGATTTATTTAGTTTCCGATCCGACATCGAACTTTTGATGCCTCCCCTTATACAATCATGATATTAGTGCAAGCTAGTTGATAAAATAATGAAATAGAGTGTTTTAATAAAATCAGTATTACCCTTTGGCTTTTCATACTCTCACATCAAAACACATCTAGGTGCTTACTTATAGGTTTTGATTACACCAGGTTTGTTTCATTGAAATATGTAATGTAAAAAAGAAAGAATCCATACCCATAAGGGTATATTTGGCGAAAATCTTAAGTAATATTTTTGTTTGAGATTTGGGTAGTATATTCACAACGTCGATCTATTTCACATATGTTCCCAGTTTTTCACTTGACCCTCAGGGGCTGTGTATGGGGGGGAGGGAAAACAGGAATTTTTGCTAATTTTGAGATCTTTCTGAAGTATAGCTTTATTATACTCAAATGGAAGGCAATTTTGAGTAGATTGCAAAAATTGTGTCATTTTTTAATTCAAGTCTCGTAAAATTCGAAATGGCTGCTTAAAATCACGCCCGATGATTGGAAGAAATAAATGGAGGAGGGAGTAGTTGATTAGTAGTAGCTATGGCAAAGAAAATCAGCTACTCCCCCTCCATTCATTTCTTCCGATCATGTAAATGATATTTCACAATAATTTCCTGATCTCTTCAAGGTATGACTATTATCAAGTAACAGGGGTCTACACGACCTGTAATAAATACTTGTAAGTGAAGTTATTATCACAAAACTATTGTCATCGTTAGTTTTGTAAAACATGTTACCATATGTTATATAAAAAATAATCAAAACTTATAGAAATTGAATGGAGGGGAAGTGAATGGATCGGGGAGTAATGTGTCTTTAAGACATATGATAAGAGATGTAACTTGACTTTATTTCCGAAAACTCCATATGTCTCTATTTTTCACTTTTCAGAGTTGTAACATCAAGTTGTTACTGAGTTGCTGAGCTCATTTTTCAAAAACACAAATTCGCTGAAATTTCTTCCACCATTACTCCCCCACCTCTGTTCACTCCCCCACCTCTGTTCAATTTTAGTTATTTTCAATTATTTTTTACCTCACGTTTGGAAACTTATTTTAAATAACTGGCAATGACATTAATTTTGTGGTAAAAACGTTGCTTATACAGGGTGGGCAAAAAATGCCACTTTTTTCAAAATGCTATAACTTTTTTAATTTTTGATACAAAATCATAATTTGCATACCAATTGAAACTTGAGGATGCTATCTAGCCATGGATTATGAATTATGTATAAAAGAAAAATGTCACCAGTGTCTCACTTAAAAATGTGGTGTGCCCTGGGAAATAAACATAATTTGCAACATATTCCTGAATTGATACGGCCTGATGAACACCTAGCTAAGAGTCCTGATGAAATCCCCAGTGAGTATAGGGTATGGGAAGATCTCCAGGAGATGGTATGAAGGCACCCAATCTAAAAATTGCCTAACTAAAGCTGGCAATAAAGACAGGTTGAAAGAAACTTTCCAACATTTCACCGATACTGCTATATCAGCAAGGCAACTAAGACTAAAAGCTATCATCAAAGAGGGTGGCAGACCAATTGAACTCCTCTTTTAGATCAAATATAATTCAAGTTGAAGGGCATTGTTACATTATATTATTACTCAGAACCCCTGGTACTATATAACTGCAAAATTTGGGGAATATAGGTTGGAAAATAAAAAAGTTAGTGTCTTGAAAAAAAGTGGCGTTTTTTTGGCCCACCCTGTATATATATTTATTACAGGTCGTGTAGACAATTGTTGCTTGATTTGCAAGCAAAAACATTGACATTTGCACATTGGTCATGCTGCGCATTTTTTAATAGAATTATTTTAGAAGTCCCATCAGTTCAAAAAAATTGTAGAAGACCTAACACATTTCCCTGTGTACTGCATCTATTCATTTAGCAATTCAATTGTAAATTTTTTTCTTGAAAAAATAAATCTAGGAGACATTTTAAGTTCCAATGGGGACATATGGAGCTACAGATACGTATAACGTGCTATATGTGGTTTGGTAACTGAAATCTTAGTTCATAATTGATCCGAAGATTTGCACATTTTTCAATTGAGTTGTATGGGGCCATTTAATAGTTCAGTTGTCCACAGTGAGTATTATCTATCATTCTTTTATATTAGATATTAGCGGCAAATTACAATAGGAATTAACAAAAACTAGATCGTGTTTAGCAATAATTTTTCAAATTCTCAAACCGGAAGTAAGCGATCAACTTTCACGGTATTTAGTTTTGGGGGGGAGGGGGGGGGTCTGAGTCAAAACTAGATTTATTTAGTTTCCGATCCGACATCGAACTTTTGATGCCTCCCCTTATACAATCATGATATTAGTGCAAGCTAGTTGATAAAATAATGAAATAGAGTGTTTTAATAAAATCAGTATTACCCTTTGGCTTTTCATACTCTCACATCAAAACACATCTAGGTGCTTACTTATAGGTTTTGATTACACCAGGTTTGTTTCATTGAAATATGTAATGTAAAAAAGAAAGAATCCATACCCATAAGGGTATATTTGGCGAAAATCTTAAGTAATATTTTTGTTTGAGATTTGGGTAGTATATTCACAACGTCGATCTATTTCACATATGTTCCCAGTTTTTCACTTGACCCTCAGGGGCTGTGTATGGGGGGGAGGGAAAACATGAATTTTTGCTAATTTTGAGATCTTTCTGAAGTATAGCTTTATTATACTCAAATGGAAGGCAATTTTGAGTAGATTGCAAAAATTGTGTCATTTTTTAATTCAAGTCTCGTAAAATTCGAAATGGCTGCTTAAAATCACGCCCGATGATTGGAAGAAATAAATGGAGGAGGGAGTAGTTGATTAGTAGTAGCTATGGCAAAGAAAATCAGCTACTCCCCCTCCATTCATTTCTTCCGATCATGTAAATGATATTTCACAATAATTTCCTAATCTCTTCAAGGTATGACTATTATCAAGTAACAGGGGTCTACACAACCTGTAATAAATACTTGTAAGTGAAGTTATTATCACAAAACTATTGTCATCGTTAGTTTTGTAAAACATGTTACCATATGTTATATAAAAAATAATCAAAAATTATAGAAATTGAATGGAGGGGAAGTGAATGGATCGGGGAGTAATGTGTCTTTAAGACATATGATAAGAGATGTAACCTGACTTTATTTCCGAAAACTCCATATGTCTCTATTTTTCACTTTTCAGAGTTGTAACATCAAGTTGTTACTGAGTTGCTGAGCTCATTTTTCAAAAACACAAATTCGCTGAAATTTCTTCCACCATTACTCCCCCACCTCTGTTCACTCCCCCACCTCTGTTCAATTTTAGTTATTTTCAATTATTTTTTACCTCACGTTTGGAAACTTATTTTAAATAACTGGCAATGACATTAATTTTGTGGTAAAAACGTTGCTTATACAGGGTGGGCAAAAAATGCCACTTTTTTCAAAATGCTATAACTTTTTTAATTTTTGATACAAAATCTTAATTTGCATACCAATTGAAACTTGAGGATGCTATCTAGCCATGGATTATGAATTATGTATAAAAGAAAAATGTCACCAGTGTCTCACTTAAAAATGTGGTGTGCCCTGGGAAATAAACATAATTTGCAACATATTCCTGAATTGATACGGCCTGATGAACACCTAGCTAAGAGTCCTGATGAAATCCCCAGTGAGTATAGGGTATGGGAAGATCTCCAGGAGATGGTATGAAGGCACCCAATCTAAAAATTGCCTAACTAAAGCTGGCAATAAAGACAGGTTGAAAGAAACTTTCCAACATTTCACCGATACTGCTATATCAGCAAGGCAACTAAGACTAAAAGCTATCATCAAAGAGGGTGGCAGACCAATTGAACTCCTCGTTTAGATCAAATATAATTCAAGTTGAAGGGCATTGTTACATTATATTATTACTCAGAACCCCTGGTACTATATAACTGCAAAATTTGGGGAATATAGGTTGGAAAATAAAAAAGTTAGTGTCTTGAAAAAAAAGTGGCGTTTTTTTGGCCCACCCTGTATATATATTTATTACAGGTCGTGTAGACAATTGTTGCTTGATTTGCAAGCAAAAACATTGACATTTGCACATTGGTCATGCTGCGCATTTTTTAATAGAATTATTTTAGAAGTCCCATCAGTTCAAAAAAATTGTAGAAGACCTAACACATTTCCCTGTGTACTGCATCTATTCATTTAGCAATTCAATTGTAAATTTTTTTCTTGAAAAAATAAATCTAGGAGACATTTTAAGTTCCAATGGGGACATATGGAGCTACAGATACGTATAACGTGCTATATGTGGTTTGGTAACTGAAATCTTAGTTCATAATTGATCCGAAGATTTGCACATTTTTCAATTGAGTTGTATGGGGCCATTTAATAGTTCAGTTGTCCACAGTGAGTATTATCTATCATTCTTTTATATTAGATATTAGCGGCAAATTACAATAGGAATTAACAAAAACTAGATCGTGTTTAGCAATAATTTTTCAAATTCTCAAACCGGAAGTAAGCGATCAACTTTCACGGTATTTAGTTTTTGGGGGGGAGGGGGGGGGGGTCTGAGTCAAAACTAGATTTATTTAGTTTCCGATCCGACATCGAACTTTTGATGCCTCCCCTTATACAATCATGATATTAGTGCAAGCTAGTTGATAAAATAATGAAATAGAGTGTTTTAATAAAATCAGTATTACCGTTTGGCTTTTCATACTCTCACATCAAAACACATCTAGGTGCTTACTTATAGGTTTTGATTACACCAGGTTTGTTTCATTGAAATATGTAATGTAAAAAAGAAAGAATCCATACCCATAAGGGTATATTTGGCGAAAATCTTAAGTAATATTTTTGTTTGAGATTTGGGTAGTATATTCACAACGTCGATCTATTTCACATATGTTCCCAGTTTTTCACTTGACCCTCAGGGGCTGTGTATGGGGGGGGAGGGAAAACAGGAATTTTTGCTAATTTTGAGATCTTTCTGAAGTATAGCTTTATTATACTCAAATGGAAGGCAATTTTGAGTAGATTGCAAAAATTGTGTCATTTTTTAATTCAAGTCTCGTAAAATTCGAAATGGCTGCTTAAAATCACGCCCGATGATTGGAAGAAATAAATGGAGGAGGGAGTAGCTGATTAGTAGTAGCTATGGCAAAGAAAATCAGCTACTCCCCCTCCATTCATTTCTTCCGATCATGTAAATGATATTTCACAATAATTTCCTGATCTCTTCAAGGTATGACTATTATCAAGTAACAGGGGTCTACACGACCTGTAATAAATACTTGTAAGTGAAGTTATTATCACAAAACTATTGTCATCGTTAGTTTTGTAAAACATGTTACCATATGTTATATAAAAAATAATCAAAAATTATAGAAATTGAATGGAGGGGAAGTGAATGGATAGGGGAGTAATGTGTCTTTAAGACATATGATAAGAGATGTAACCTGACTTTATTTCCGAAAACTCCATATGTCTCTATTTTTCACTTTTCAGAGTTGTAACATCAAGTTGTTACTGAGTTGCTGAGCTCATTTTTCAAAAACACAAATTCGCTGAAATTTCTTCCACCATTACTCCCCCACCTCTGTTCACTCCCCCACCTCTGTTCAATTTTAGTTATTTTCAATTATTTTTTACCTCACGTTTGGAAACTTATTTTAAATAACTGGCAATGACATTAATTTTGTGGTAAAAACGTTGCTTATACAGGGTGGGCAAAAAATGCCACTTTTTTCAAAATGCTATAACTTTTTTAATTTTTGATACAAAATCATAATTTGCATACCAATTGAAACTTGAGGATGCTATCTAGCCATGGATTATGAATTATGTATAAAAGAAAAATGTCACCAGTGTCTCACTTAAAAATGTGGTGTGCCCTGGGAAATAAACATAATTTGCAACATATTCCTGAATTGATACGGCCTGATGAACACCTAGCTAAGAGTCCTGATGAAATCCCCAGTGAGTATAGGGTATGGGAAGATCTCCAGGAGATGGTATGAAGGCACCCAATCTAAAAATTGCCTAACTAAAGCTGGCAATAAAGACAGGTTGAAAGAAACTTTCCAACATTTCACCGATACTGCTATATCAGCAAGGCAACTAAGACTAAAAGCTATCATCAAAGAGGGTGGCAGACCAATTGAACTCCTCTTTTAGATCAAATATAATTCAAGTTGAAGGGCATTGTTACATTATATTATTACTCAGAACCCCTGGTACTATATAACTGCAAAATTTGGGGAATATAGGTTGGAAAATAAAAAAGTTAGTGTCTTGAAAAAAAGTGGCGTTTTTTTGGCCCACCCTGTATATATATTTATTACAGGTCGTGTAGACAATTGTTGCTTGATTTGCAAGCAAAAACATTGACATTTGCACATTGGTCATGCTGCGCATTTTTTAATAGAATTATTTTAGAAGTCCCATCAGTTCAAAAAAATTGTAGAAGACCTAACACATTTCCCTGTGTACTGCATCTATTCATTTAGCAATTCAATTGTAAATTTTTTTCTTGAAAAAATAAATCTAGGAGACATTTTAAGTTCCAATGGGGACATATGGAGCTACAGATACGTATAACGTGCTATATGTGGTTTGGTAACTGAAATCTTAGTTCATAATTGATCCGAAGATTTGCACATTTTTCAATTGAGTTGTATGGGGCCATTTAATAGTTCAGTTGTCCACAGTGAGTATTATCTATCATTCTTTTATATTAGATATTAGATAGAGGGTGCTGACTGTGGAGTTGTCCCATTCTCAAAATTCATTTCGTTCCTTGTGTAAAGGTCAGCGTAAAATCGTATCCTCAAGAATTAGCCCCGGGGACCTTTCAACACTATTATAACACTCATCCTCAAGAATTATCCCCCTGAACTTTTAACACTGTCACTATGTTGGCTATCAATACTGTTTAAATACATTAAACATTCCCAAGTCTTGTATTTATCTATGATTAAATTAGTAGAGTGATCTTATAGAATTTATGAGCCCAAATCCAATCAAAAGCAAATAACAAGCTTTAAAATTGCAAAACACAAATGTGATTTATTAATTTAATGTATAAGTGGTTTATTGAGTATATATAAACATATAATATGATAAATTTCTAGCATCTAGCATGTACTTTAGGTAATTATTACTTTCCCGGGATTTGGGCTTGAGGATACGATTTTACTTACGAATTGCACTGGACGAAAGGCTCGGAGATTGTTGTCCCGCGTGATCTTGCGAGACCTTGTGACTTCCTGTTTATGCGCATCGTTTGTGCGCAGTCAAAATTTGGCGTGTTTCAAACGTATTTTTTTTGTTCACTAAAACACAAATATCTCTATTTTCGCTGCGTATCTATTTACAAAATGGTGAAGTTGACACCGGAATTGATCCAACAGGCGCAACAATATACGAATCCAGTGCGGGACAGAGAATTGACTCTCCGAGGATATAAAATTCCAGTCCTAGAAAATCTGGGAGCGACTCTCGATCAATTCGACACAATCGATTTTTCTGACAATGACATTCGTAAGCTTGATAGCTTTCCATTATTAAAGAGATTAAAAACCCTTCTTTTTAACAATAACAGAGTTTCAAGAATCACAGAAAATCTTGAAGAAAGTTTACCTAATTTGGAAACATTGATTCTCACCAATAACAACATGCGCGAGTTGGGCGATATTGATGTGTTATCAACTGTAAAAACATTGTCCACTCTCAGCTTACTCGGAAACCCTATCACCACTAAAGAACACTACAGACTTTATATTGTGCATACACTGCCAAATCTGCGTCTGTTAGACTTTAGGAAAATCAAACAAAAGGAACGTGATGCTGCTCAACGTTTGTTCAAGGGGAAAAGAGGAGCCAACCTTATCCGTCAGATTGGTCAGAAGTCTAATACCTTCGTACCAGGTGGAAATATTCCAGAAAAGCGAGTTGCTCCTCCTAAAGATGTTGAGGCAATCAAGAGAGCCATAGTGAATGCAAAGAGTTTAGAGGAGGTTGAACGTCTAACCCAAATGCTCAGGACTGGTCAAGTACCAGGTATTACTTGAAACTTACTCACTTCGAGAGCCATGTTAGATTTTGAAACTTATGCACATGCTATCTATTGCAAGACTAACGCCTGGTGTAACCGTCGCCATGTTATTCGGTGTTTTTTAAGTAGCGCAAGGATCCTGCCATGACCGTGGCAGTGTTATTTTGTAAGCCTGGTATAACCGTGACAACGCTGTATTATATTGCAAGGCCTGTCATGACCGTGAGTGTTTTCGTGGAAGCCTGGCGCGGCCGTAGCATTTACGTTTAATTTAAGAATTTTTTATTGTTGTATGTTAAGGATGTTCCCTGGACGAAGTTGAAAACGATGAACACCAACCCCTAATTTTTCTTTTCAAAATGTGAAGTACATAGCATAACTAAGTGTTTCTGTGAGTTTAAGAAAAAGTTAAATATTCAAAAGTGTGTTTTGGGGTGAAAACCTGATTTTTAACATGGGTTTCAATGAGAAAGTGCCACGCCCACTTTTGTCAAATATCGACACTTTAGAGGCCTCTTGCTCAGAAAAAAGCACACTAACATATGGTTTTTAAAGTTTTAATATTCTTTGTTGCCCGTGAGAATCCCAGAAAACCATTTTTGAGAAAAAGTTAAATACTATTGAATATTTTCCTATCTGACCAGGGAACATCCTTAAGTGATTTGTTTACTATCCACTTTTAAATAAATTGTTTATTAGCGTGACTCAAATAACTTGTCTTATTCTGTGTAAATGATTAATTATTTTAGAATATGCGGAAATAATGTGAATATAATGTCTAGTAGTAATTTTGATATTAACATAATTAAGGTAGTTAAACACCTACATCACCACTCTCATACCTGAACTTGCAATACTACATTACACTGCCACGGCGGTCATACCAAGCCTTGCAATACTATATTACATTGTCACGGTCATGCCAGGCCTTGCAGTACTATATTACATTGTCACGGTCATGGCAGACCTTGCAATACTATATTACCTTGTCACGGTCATGCCAGGCTTTGCAATACACATTGTCACGGTTATAGCAGTAGTCCTAATCATAAATTTCTACATCACCACTTTCATACCTGAACTTGCAATATTACATTACACTGCCACGGCGGTCATACCAAGCCTTGCAATACTATATTACATTGTCACGGTCATGCCAGGCCTTGCAGTACTATATGACATTGTCACGGTCATGCCCGGCTTTGCTATAAACATTGTCACAGTTATAGCAGTCCTAATCATAAATTATTGCAAGGCCTGTCATGACCGTGGTAATGTTAAAGCCTAATATGACCGTGACAATGCTTATAAGGCCTGTCATGACCGTGGTAATGTTAAAGCCCCGTATGACCGTGACAATAGTTGCAAGGCCTCTAATGATCGTGGTTGTATTTAAAGTAGCATGAGAACACTGTAATGACAATTTTTCTTCGTGTTTAACTACCTTAAATATGTAAATAAAGACTACTAATAATGTGTATTAATTTCACAACGAAAACCTAATTTTTACTCATAAATAATTTGCAAACAAACTATATCTCTACTCTCATTCAAAGAGCTTCGATTCGAAAGCATATACTTTCTATAATGATCAATTGATAAGATTTATTCATAAAAAATACCAACAGCAACGGGTCATTAATGTCATATAAAGGTTGCGGTCGCGCCAGGCTTACACGATTACACTACCACGGTCATGGCAGGCATTTTAATATAATACAGCATTGTCGCGGTTATACCAGGCTTTCACGATAACATTACCACGGTCATGGCAGGATCCTTGCGCTACTTAAAAAACACCAAATAACATGGTGACGGTTACGCCAAGCGTTAGTCTTGCAACAGATAGGGTCTCAACTTATGGCTCTCAAACGGGGGAATGGACAGCTGAATAATAGTGACCTTTTAAACACAAATTAAGTCGATCAGCTGCCTACTTTTGTTCTCTAACTATGTTATCCGTGCAAGTATTGGAGCGCTGAAGTACTTCCTTTTCGATCAAGACTTGTAATTTTTAGTCGAATGAATGTTTTTATTGGCAAATTCCAATATGGCGTTTTATGCTCAGACATTTCCGCGAATCTCTGGAGGTTGTCCGAACCTAATCATTCTCAAAATTCATTTCGCTCGTTGCGTATCTCGCCCTTAGCAAACCGCCATATTGGAAATGGGTCGAAAAAACATTTACTCAATGAACAATTTACAAGTCTTGATCTAAAAAGAAGTATTTCAGTGCTCCAATACTTGCACGGATTGATGATACTGATGTAAGACACAGTTAGAGACCAAAAGTTTTATTCATATTTTAAAGGTCACTATTACTCCGCTGCCCAAGTGCGCCGTGGGAAAGCTATTGTATCAAAATCCACTATAGCTTTCGCAGGAAGTAAACTTGAAACCGTTTTCTGTATCTAGTTTTAGACTGTTACTTTATTTTTTCATTCACTTCACTGGTTTGGTTATATTATCCAGTTTGGAACATAAATAATGACTCATAGATTTACTGAAGTGAGGATTTCCCATGTTAAAATAAGAGAATCAGGGAATGTACTAAAAACCCTACGACCTACGACTTGCTTGGTGTCAACATTATCCAAAACATTTTTATTGTTGATGTATGACATTTATTTTACTCAGGTGGTGCTGGCGAAAAGGAAGAAATGATGGAAGTCAATGGTCACTAGACGATATATCCTCAGCAAAAGAAAAACCACATTGATAAATAACCCACGTTTTACAATTGAAGGCCAGGAACCTCTGCAAAATGACTAATATAATTTTTCTTGATGGTTCTTCAGTTGTAAGCCAAAATCAGAGGTTAGATGTAGGTTTTGCATTTCCTTTCATAATATGTATTGAAATGGACTTTTTGATACAGACTTTAAGCTGATAACGATTGTTCATGTTTGTTGAATGTATGACCATTTGCAACAAGAATGTTTACTGATGTAGATATCAGTAATGAATGTACCGATGTACATATAGTGTAGTCTTAAAAACAGAACATATACTATACTTTGATATCTAACTGAAGCAGATTTTGATTTGATTTTATGTCATCTAAAATTGATGACATATTGTTGTTGTGTAATATTGTTATGGCAATATGGTTCAATAATGAGTAACTTGAATTTTTCATTTAGTACATGTTTTCTTGACAATTAATAATGCTGCAACAAAATGTTTTACTTTTGAATGATAATTTTATATGTTTGCTCTTCAGCTTTCTCAGAATTCTAAAAATTGTATTATGTCTGTCATGGAATCCATTTTCTGACCACCATGCAATTGTGACTGGAAAAAGCCATCCAACATATTTATATGAACCAACACAAAACATACACTATTTGTTATTGATTGACCAAGAATGGAGTTCAGTTACATTTCGATTCAATGATTATCAGACATTTTAGTAAACTGATTCAGACTGCATTCTTACCCTATTCTACAGGCCCGTAGCCAGGATTTGCCAAGGGGGGTTCACTACCCATCGAATCCCCCTGGCTACGAGCCTGTTCTGTGACTGTTCAAACTGTTAATGAATGGATCCATTTCTGTAACAAAATGGAGCAGCCTCGAAGGCACAAGTTTTCTTTTTCCATGATTTCATGAGATATAGGCAGAAACTTCACGACCTTTTAGTACAAATATGTGTCAGCAGTGCATCCTATGTTTAAGAAAATCTAAATGCAAACAAATTGTTCACAAGAAGTCAGAATCATGGATATATAATTCCTCGCTTTAGTTACGTAAATGGATCTTTAAAAATGGCAACATCTGTAGTAGTGGGGGGAATTTACCCCTATATTTGGCAGAATATTTCAGATGGTGATACAAGTATAAACTTTTGCTTTTCTACTACTTCAAACCTTTTTAAAAAAATCTGTCCCTGTGATCAATGGATTTTTTTACTTTTTCCCCCCAAAATCCAAGATGGCCGACACACTATAGCTCGGAAAATATATTTAGCTCTGATTTGGCAAATACAGCTGTAATATAAAGTTTAAATTGTGTTTTCAGGACTAAATGCACTAATAGGGACACCACATAATACATGTCATGAGCTTAAGTCAAAATAAATAATTATATGGGAGTTAAGCAAGGTTCATTTCTGACCCCCCTCTTATTTTGTTCATTTATAAGTTTGTATAACCCTACTCCTATGAATTATACATAATTAGTAAGACTGTTCTTAAATTTTAGATTTTTATTCTCTGCTACATATCAAATTAGTTTGTATAAATGACCGTAGCCTAAAGAATTGAAGGATTTTCACAAATAAATGGTTTATTGAGTACAGACATTTACCATGCACTTACAATTACAGACTATTACAGCGACATCAGGACCACTAAAAGCAAATTCAATTATTCATTAAATTTTGATTGAGGTTAAAGACATTAAATACAATCCATCAATGTATTCTATGCATTATTGAGTATGAATATGAAACATGTGGTTTTCCATGACTCTTCAGTAAGGAGGAATGAAATACCAAGCAGGAAGGTGATGTGAAATTTGAGTAAGAATTTGCAAAATTTAATCTAACAAAAATCTACCATTATTTGTAGAATTTTGATTAAATGTAAAATATTAATTCATCCCATAAATATATCTTATGCATTCTTTCATGGTGTTCAACCCAAACGCTCTTACATGCACAATGGAAAGTTTCATCCAAGCGGAAACGGGGCTAATGAAGATCCCACTATGACTGAAAGTATTGTTTCACTAGTTTCTCTTACATATCACGCGTTATGGTGACATATTATGTACCATTCGATGAACAATACCCTGAGCAAAGATCTTATTTATTCAACTTCTGGTGGTAAACTGTTATTTGCTTGATCAAAGCTCCGTAGTGTAGATCAAACAAATTTGAAGTTGACAAATTGACCACAAATTACGAATTAAATTAGTAGTAATATGAAATTTGCTCTAAAACATAAAACTATTGACAAATAAACAAAAAGTTTATATGTGAATTAATCGTTCTTTTGATGCCAAGGGTAACAATAGATTGTTTCTTTCTCTTCTTGAAAAGGAAAGTTGAGCTTAGTACAGCAGTGTTTCCAGTTCACTGTGTTAACCAGATCGCAGCATTTCTTGAATATGAGAATGTCATTATTTTTAAGACTTGATTTTTGTTATCAAATAACGATTACGATAATGTATGGTGTGATCAAGGTTTGGAATTTGACCAAAATATACTCTGATGCTCAAGGAACAGGGTTTTGACCGGAAGAATGACAAATATGTTTATGAATTTTGATAACTATACTGCTTAAGACAGCTCTTCCTAATTGCTTCAAACGTCAACAGCCATCAAAGTACAATATATCACACCCATCAAATGGTATACTTGAAATAAGTAACACATACTTCTTATTCCCATCATTGGGGAAATTGTCAGATGACTCATCATTTCCGCTCGCCATACTCCAGAGTGTTTCTTTGTTTAGTTTCAGGAATGAAGCGTTCAATCTTGCATGTAAGAGCGTTTGGGTTGGACACCGTGTCCTTTAATTGTGAAAATCAAATATATGGGATGTCATGACTCCTCAGTAAAGAGGAAGGAAACGATTGGAGGGAAGATAATTTAAAATTTGGGTAGGAATTTGCTAATTAGAAATTAAATCTTCCAATATTCTACAATTATTTTGAATTATTAAATTATCACAATTTCTAGATAATATTTAATGAACAATTAATTTTGTAATGTCTTGGGCTAAGGCCATGAATGTTTTTTTAAGAATAAACAAAAATGAATATAAAATATGGTAAAAATCTATTCTAACATTTTGCAAACATGACATATCTGCAACAACTAATGTACATGTACTAGGGCAACAGCCCAACTCATATGTGGGTGTTTTCCATATACAGAACAAGTGAAACAATTGATATAAATACACCCAGAAAGTGCTTATTTTGCAAAAAAAGGAAGACCAATCGAGAGAATTCCACCTACTCACATGCCTTGGAATAGCGCATTAAAAGAACAGCTTACGAGGCTGGTGTAGTTTGGGGACAAATGCGAAATTCTTCACCACCTTGCCTTTACGACTACATCAACTGGGGATGGGACAATAATGAAACTGTTACCCCACTGTGGACAACCCAGACACAGTCCTCCAAAGCCTGCCAAGCTCTTATACAATGTTCATATAAAAAGCTATGTTCTGTATGCACTTGTAAAAAGCCAGGACTTACATTTTGTGACAGTATTTATGAGATTGAAATTATAACAGAGTAAAAAAAGATCCATGTGGAACTCCTTCAAAGGCTATTTTGTATTTGGAAGACAATAATTTAATTTGAACCTGAAATATAAGATAAAATGATGTTTGAAATATTATCTTTATTCAAGAAAACAGGTTCATTCACTTAAGTTGTTGCAAAATAAGAGCCCTCCCAAAATACTAGATGTAAACAACATGCTTTACTACTTAAACAGTATTATTTTTAAACCACATTTATCCCTATACGAGGGGTGATTCAAAAGTAATGGACAAAATTTTATAGGCACGCTTACCTTTACCAGATTTGAATGAAACTTTGTACAAATAAAGATTAATCAATTATCTATTAGATGTTAAAATTTTATTAACTAAATGCAAATACATTTTGAGATAGACCACTTCTCTTGGATCATGGTGCATACACCCGGAATCCATTTTTAAGGCTATTTTCATCATAATAACAAATGGATTTTCAATGAAAAGTTTGCTGGTGCAATATATTTTGCAATGCAAGATGTATATGAAAAGCATATCGCAGTAAGTTCAATAATAATCCATATCATTCCTTATTATTCCTGATGATCATCCATTTGAATTATATTCAATCCTCAATGTATTCTCCTCCAAGTTCAATTACTTTCTTCTGTCGGCGCACCCATGCAGAGAACACATGCCCAAATCCATCAGCAGCCATGGTGTTCAGCTGTTTTTGTACAGCCATTTGCAGCTCAGCTAATGTCTGAAAGGATTGTCCCTTTAATGCCATCTTAAGGGTGGGAAAAAGATAGAAATCACAAGGAGCAGTATCAGGGCTATATGGAGCATGTGGAAGTTGAGGCATGTCCATGAATGCTGCAAGAGTATCCTGAACTAGCTTGGACCTGTGTGCTGGGGCATTGTCCATGTGTAACAACCGATTGTCTCTTGTGTCTTTCCTTTTCTTTTGAAGTGCCTGTCCAAGATTGCATTTTAGAACGTGAAAGTGAAATATCATTATTTATTTATTCATTCATTTATTTATCTATTTTCAAATTATTAATCTTGCTTAAAGCTATTATGACTTCATTTTCTCCTTTTAAATTGACAATGATTAAAACGGATGAAAATATCATGTTTACCTTGGTGAAGTATTTCCCTTTGATAGTCTGATGAGGAGGAACATAGTGGGTCAGGATCACGCCATCATAATCGAAGAAGGGAACAATCATCACTTTGTCAGAGGATCTGCTTTGCCTTTGTTGGGCGCCGCTCACCCTTTTTGATATACTGTGTAGATTGTAGTTTAGTTTCTGGATCTCTAAAGTATAGCCATGATTCGTCAGTAGTGATTATACGCTTTAGGAATCCTTCTCCTTCAATGTTGTATTGCTTCAGAAAATCCTGCGCAACTTCGACACGTTGTTGCTTTTGTTCTTCAGAAAGAAGCTTAGTAATCCACTTGGCACACACCCTTTTCATATTTAGGTCGCATTTTACAATCCTTTGTACTGTAGAGTAGGACACATCTGTAATGGAACTTATTTCTCTCAGTGTCAATCTCCTGTCTGCATTTAGGATGGACTCTACATGGTGAATAGTGTTATCAGTGCGGCCAGTCTTGGGCCTTCCAGATTGCTTTAAATCTAAGGCTCTCGTATCCCCTTCACTAAAGTGTTTGTACCATCGCTCAATGGCTTGCCTTGACAAGGCCTTGTCTCCATGTGTCTCTTTTATTTTCTTGACAACTGCCTGCCTTGTCTCTCCAGTAGCTACCAAATATTCAATAACAATCCTTTGCTTAACTTTTATTTGTTGTAAAGTAGACATTTCTTGGATGTGTGTGAGTCTAAGAGTCTGATCTACTTTCTGACTCACTGTGACTCATCATTCTTAGAAATATCATTGTGATGTCATAGCACAATTGGTTGCTGAATTTAGAACTCAACAGCAAACACATGGGCATGTGAGTCTTGCTTGACAATTGCATTACCATGCTTGTTAGACATATCATGTGTGGTAATTGAGTCATTAAAACGAAATCAAGCAAAAATGACAAAAACATTCAATTATCATTAAAAAACCAATTCCACCCATGCTTACCCTTGTTACCATGGTTACGCATAGCTGAAACAATTTCAAATGCATTTAAATGAGAATTCGACACAAAGTAGAGAATTGATTGATCTATTCACTGTAAAAAAATTAGACTGATTGGGTGAAATTTAGTATGCCTATAAAATTTTGTCCATTACTTTTGAATCACCCCTCGTATATGAATCTACAGTATTATTTGTACCAAATTATGCGTATATGGCGGCCATTTTGATTTTTTCTTGAAATACTGTTCAGTTTTATCGATCACAGGGATGGAATTTTTCCTAACATCATAATAACAGATGTACAAAATCAGGACTTACATGTACAGAATTGTGCGATTGCACATGCAATTCTGTATAAGTCATTAACATTTAAAGACAGTATATATGGGATTGTGATTATAACAGAGTAAAAAGGAACCATGTGGAACTCCTTTAAAGGCTATTTTAAACTTGTAAGACAATAATTTAACTTGAACTTGAAATATTAGATTGAAAAGATGTGTGAAATAGTATCTTATTCAAGAAAACAGGTTCATTCACTTCAATTGTTGCAAAATAAGAGCCCTCCCAAAATAGAACCTTGTAGAATCCCTATATAAAGTCATTTTGTCCAAATTCAAATCATTAATGAATGTGACTGTATTTCTAGATGTAAACAACATGCTTTACTCCTGTTCCAATATTATTTTTAAACCATATTTATCTCTATATATGAATCTAGAGTGTTATTTGTACCAAATTATGCCTATATGGCGGCCATCTTGAATTTTTCTTGAAATAGTGTTCGGTTTTATTGATCACAGGGATGGAATTTTTCCTAATAACATAAATAACAGATTAAGCCATTAAATTTGCTTGTATCACCAATTGAAATATTTTCCAGCAAATTCCCCCCACTATAGTACTTTTGACAGTTTGGTTTATGTAACAATAATGAGGAATTGTTTTGATCATTATGGTGTCCCACAAACTATTTATTCGCAGATGCTTTGATTTTCCTTTGAGGATGCTCCATTTTGTCACGAAAATGGATCTATTTTTTGTAACCAGTTTGAGGTTCACCACAGTGTATCTGCAACATATGATTAACAGCTAGTATTAAGGGTAAGTCAAATCTACAATTTATATGTTCATCTGTACTGTTTTGAAAATTATTTGATTATCAGTTTTAATTATCCCAACGAACGAAGTTTGGCAAGGATGTAATGGAGCCATCCGTCCATCAGTCAGTCTGTCCCACAGTTATATACTTTCGTTTGTAAAAATGCCAGCCATGTCTGTTCGATGGGATTTGCTATGCTTTGGCGTTGCTGTTGTCTAGTTAAGCCTGTTGTAGGAATTTCTGGTGAAACCACTGTGAATTTTAAAATGGCTGACATTTTTTGTAAAAAAGGAACATAATCTTTGATAACTCAAATGCTAATTAACGGATATGGTTTACATTTTATATGTTGATGCCTAGGGACAAACAAGCTCTGCTCAAGAAGGAATTTTCAAGATGGCTTCTAATTAGCAAAATATGTTTTATTTGGTGGGATTTGCCACTCCGTAGAGTTGCTGTTTTTCTAGTTTCTCGAAAGTTTGTAAACTTATTAGTAAGTCCATTGTTGTTTGTATTTATTTTAAAACTTGCATTTCTCGAAATTTAGCAACTGTGAAAATAATTTCAAATCTACCACGCTGACCCTTTAACAACCAATGGGCGAAGTTGAAGGGAACATGTGCTAAATACATGCTCATTAACTATGCGGTGATGTCAGAGGAAATGACCATATAGAAAGTCGTCCTTATTTCGACAACGAACTCTGATTGGCTCGGTGAGATCAGAGATTTATTGTAAACTGAAAGAATGAAGACAAAGCTCTCTTTTACGAAGTGAAATCAAACGAATGCAAAGGGTACATACATTACAACTACTCCACTGCAAATCCTTCTGTTCAATCCTTTGAAAACCCTTTGTCTAATATTATTACATTTTTGCATGCTCTTTTTCAGTCTAAGGGCTATTGGCCAGAAGTGATGGACATTAATACCACACTTTCCTTACTCATGTGTAACATAATGGCTGACATAATCTCCCAAACTGGCAGGGATTGCATTATTACTGTAAGTTTGAAGCTGAAATTTAATAATAACAATGGTAGCATTCGTGAATTCAACTGCTGGCTGTTGGATTAACCTACTATTTCATAAATACTTTTGTATTCCCATAGAATATGATCACAATTTTTTCACATTTTTTGTAAATAACCAAATGGTCAATGTTTCTAATTTTGAAATGTTTTGTTATACATCAATATATCTTTCAACTAGTTTTTTCAAGAAAATCTGAATTATAGAAAAAAGTTGGTCGAGACTGAAGTTCTACCTTAAATTATTTTGAATTAGTATGAGAATACACTTGCATGTATGCTTTATCAATGTATCCAGTTAAAGAGAGAATCAGAAATAGCGAGCAGCCTAACAAAACATTGTTTTAATTTAAGAATATTTCTGGCTTATGTCATTCCTTTTCATGTCTATTTTCTAAAAATCACCAAAATTTACACTTTATTTCAGGAAAACTAAAGATTTTTACAATAATGTATTATTTCTCTATATTTGGGAGAATTTAAACACTTTTTGCCCATTTTTGCACTTTGAATCCATTGTAACTTCACCAATTTATAATATATCAAAGATCTTTTGGGAGATATTGTATTTGAGATTGTAAGGAATAGATTGTTAGGTCAATTGTATATGTTGCTTGTAATTGTAATTTAATGTCACCCCCATAGATCTGATTCTGCCTTTAAAGTACTAAACTAAATTTCAATTTTATACTTGCAGGTGAGGATTCTGTTTGTGTATAGAATTACAACAGTATGTAACAAAAATCGATCGTGAACTGTTCTACAATCCAATTAAATCAAGAACATTGGTTGGGTTGTTCCTTTGGAAACCTGAGTTCATTCAGTACATTGACAGGGGATATGACATTGTTCTGTTGGAATATAGCTTGAGATGAAAAGTGAATTGACAAGAGTGGTCTTCAATGTATTCATCAATAATGATGAAAAATGAAAGAGTTGATGCTCCAGATGAGCAATGGCTATAATGACATTGACTTCATTGACAATGAATGCATGATGACTATTTTATCTATTTATCATCTGTATCTCATCTGATACAACATTGAACTACTCGTATACATAGAATTATTTTCACAATAGCATGACAAGCAGGTAACGGCTGTTACCTTCGCATCTAATATGGCGGATGATAATTGTTGATTTCGATATTTTCAGTTTCCTAATTAAACTACTTTATTGTTGACTTTATGCTTTGATATTTCAACCGATTTGATCATTTGTTTATTGGAAGATATTGTTAAACTGTTGCACCTTTGCATGATATATGAACAAATGATTATACTCCAGAGTTTCCATGTCATATAAGTCGGTTTCAGTTCAAATGTCAAAGAATCACATCAACTGTAAAGTTGTTTAATTCGATGAAAACTAAAAAATATCGAAATCGACACTTCTCCTCCACCATCTTTGATGTGGAGGTGACAACCGTTTACCATGTAACAATATGAATTGTGATAGATTCTGATTTAGAAATTACAGATGTTTAAACTTGCAAGGCTGATTTCTAAATTCCGCAAAATTTTAGATAGGTCCATATAGACATATGATGATATTCTTAAAGCTTCGGGCCAGAAAAAGGATTAACTTATTGCTCATTTTGAAAAATATCTAACAATCGTAGAATAAGCCAGTTCTTTGGTTCACCAAAAGAGCGACCATGATTGTATAAGAAAGGATTATTAACTGAAACTAGACTAGAGAGATGTAGTGAGAACAGTTTTTCAAAGTAATAAAATACAAGTCATTTGTGTATATATGTACTAATATAACATTATTTATTCATGATATTTTACAATTCTATATACATAATTACAGACTTTGTACAAATAAGATACATACAACTATTCGTTAATGTCATCAACCACTGGAAGCAAACAAGATTATGTGGGCCTATTGGCCTCAGTCATATATCTGTACCTTACAAAATTACATGAAATTGCCTAATAAAAAATTGTCTCTTCAGTATGTTTAAATGCAAGTTTGTCTATTTGAATGATGACAGAGTTGAGGAATGAAGTGAACCTATGGTCAGTTTGGCTGAAAAAGTACTATCTTTGCTTAGTTCTGTATAAAAATCATAAAAATGTGTGTTCTAGCTAAAATGCTATGTGTATAATTTAGTGTATATGACATGTACACCATATTAAAAGTTGCACATAAAACTAAACAATTTGTTCAAACAATAATAATCAATAAATATTGTTAGGGGATCATGGGGATTGATCTAAAATGTTATTACTCAGATTTTGGACAACATTGAACTAGAAAACGGCAACATCGCAAAGTTGCAAATCCCACGCAACACAACATATTTTATTAAATGCTTTGTTATTTTGAACATAACCTGATAGGAATAACCAGGAAATTGTAGAATCCAGTAGCCTTGTCTCATTTTGGAAAAATTTACACCCAAAATGTGACTAAATTATGTGACTATATATAGAGATTAAATTCTAATCAGGTAAATCACTGGTATTTTTGTGTTATTTCCCTAAGAAATGGTGGCTATTTTGAATTCAGCAGTCAGTTTGAAAAAAATCATCCTGAGCTAATTTCTATATTCATATGGCATCAGCATAGCCTATAAAATTTGAAGCAAATCTGTCAAGTGGTATTTGATATACTGTGAAGTGTGAATTGCTTTAAAGGAACATGCCTATCCTAATATGGCAGCTAGACACATATATTTACTTTCCATATTTAGCAAAACTCTGGAAAATGTTTTAATATAGTCAATTTTGACAATTTAGAAATGTATTGCTCATTTCCAATAAGCTGCCATCTTTTAGGATTTTGCTCAGGAAGTGATATCATTGATTCTCAACTGTCATTACCTTGCCTCTATTAGTATAGGAAAGTAGCACAAAATCATTTCAAGACAAGTGTTCCTTACTTTACTTTATGCACAAAAATGATTTCAGAGCTTGTCAGCTTAGAATAAAAGATACTTTTAGAAGGATTAAATCAGAGACTTTGAAAATGAATATTCATCCCGTTTGTAACTCTTAATATTATATACTAAGTTGAGAGTCGATGACATCACTTTCTGAGTGAAATCTTAATAGATGGCATCCTACTGGAATTGAGCACCACATTTTTAAGTGATCAATATTGACCATATCAAAACATTTTTCCGTGTTTTGCTAAACATGGCTAGTATATATATATAGTTATAGCTACCACATTAGGAGATGGTTTAACAAGGAATATCCTTTAATTTGACATCCATTTTAATTTGGCGGATTGATAAAAATGCCAAATTAAGTTTCTGTCAATTTTTTGACAATGAAATTCCATGGATTTTCATCTAGTGCCTTCACCTTGCACAATAAAACTTTGGTGAAAATCTTGACTGAAACATATTATGTCATGGATAAAATGTCAGAGTCCACGCTGGTTTAGATAAAACAATCTTTTACCAGGAGAGATCAAATTTTGCGCAATCCGCCAAATTAAGTAGTGCCAAATTAAAGCAATTTACAGTATCAAATATTACATTTTTCACAAAAATGGCTGCCATTTTGACCCAGTACGTTGACTAGTATTTGGAAAGGTGTTTTGTTCGGTGGGATAATTATTGAACTGTTCGTAGTCTCTCTCTCTGCCAAGTTGACCATTATTAGCTGAATGAGCTACTGAAGATACACTTAATTTGACGCTACTAAATTTGCTGGCGGATTTGCTCAATTTGAATACTTACACAAGTGAAATAATTGCAAATTACTAATTCTCAAGGGATTTTCCAAAATAGATCCGTCAAGTTGAAACAGTAGCCAAATTAAGTTTATCTACAGTATTCACAGAAAACTGAGAAACGATTATTCTCCATTTGCAATGTTCATATATTAGTACATGCAATGATGGGTACTAGTACAAACTAAAAATTTCAAAAAGGCCTTAGTTAGCTTTAATGTCCTGTTTAAGAACCCCTATGCTAACTATTAAAAATGATTCTATCAAATTTACTATACCACATTGATGTACTTGTTGAGATCGTGGGCATTCATATTATTGAAAGCCCATGTTGAGATTCAATCAACTTGAGTTTTTCTGAGAAAATAAGGATTTCAGCCATGTCAGCAAGGGTGCATTGCCATAACATGGTGACATACATGATGGTATCTCCACGCTGGTCAATGGTGTATGTCCCCATGTTGAGTCAATGCACCCTTGCTAAAATCCTCATTTTCTCAGAACTCAAGTTGATCGAGTCTCAACAAGTAGATTCATGTGGGATAGTATTGCTAGAATTTTCAATAGTAAGAATAGGGGTTCTTAAACATGTTAAACAGGACATTGGACCAGCTTTTAAGAACTTTTTGTTGGAAGTGTAGTGGTTGTATCTGCATCCCAAAAAATTATCACTGCCATGAAACCATTCACAGTTTACACTATCTTATAATGTAGACTATGTTGAACAATTACAATATTTTGGTTCACTTGTGAAAAATCACACAGTTTCATTTGCAATTTTTAAAACAGGACTGGCTTGTGTGAAATAATTGTTCACAAATATTAACAAAATCCCTCCACTACTTTTCCAATTAAAGCAAAAAATGAGTAAACACACATAAAGATGGCGCCATATTTCAAATTGCCTGCTTTACCAGCCAAACTGACATTGGAAAGTGTAATAATTGCTTCTAAATATTCACATATAAAATTTCAACAAAATCTACTCTAGCCTACTTTTCCAGCTATAGCAACAACGTTAAATAAACTCACATAAAAATGGCAGCCTATTAGCCAAAATATTTTTTTATTAAAAACACTAATATTTACGTTTTGTATGAAAGTATCTAAAATACTGTAAAATTGACACTAAAATGGTAGCCATTTTGAAACCGGTGGACACTTTGAAAATTGGCTTCTGAGCAGAACTTGCACTCACAAGGGTAGAATCACAGTTAAAATGACATTTCCTTAACATTTTTCAAAACTCTTCTTTAAGTGCAGAACCACCAATCCTTCTAAGCAGGTATTCAGAATCCGTACCTCCTTCTTCCCCCTCCTGTAACCAATTTGGAAGCACCCGATTAAACTGAATCACGTGATCTAATTATGCGCAATGACTTGTACATTATTTCTGTCGCAGTGTTGCGGCAGCCAATCAGAGTTCTTAATTGGGGAAATGCTAACTGCTTATTGCAGGGGGTAAAAAGAATATATTCTGGATTTTGAAGCCCTGTGATCGGAGGATGAGAACCACCTTAATGTGAAAACTTGGCAATTCAGTGGCTTGCATTTAATATGTAGCTCCTTATTATCCCATGTATTCTATCCAATAATGTTCAATCTGTATCATGGTATTAAAATATAGGGTGTCTCAAAAAATGTTCTCAAAAAATTTCAACACCACACGAGAATTCTTACGAACACAGTTTCCTGAAAGTCTGATCTCTCTATATGAAGACACTGACCTATTTCCCCAAATTTGATACCCCTGGACATCTTTCTCTGGGGTTATTTGAGATCAAGAATAACTTACAGCCAACATCTGAAGAGAAATCCAAAACATTCCACCAGAAACATTAATTTTTCAAATGCAATGAATAATGTAGCAACAAAGATGCAGGCTATCATCGGGAGACAAGGAGAATACACCGATCGTGAGGTGTAAAGGTAAAGGGTTGAAGCATCAAATAGGCAAGACTGAAGTAAGAACTGCGTATTGTGCAAAAAATATCTGAAAATATTGATTGGTTTATCTGTGCTGAAGTACATGTACTATTGGGGACATTTTTAGAGACACCCTGTATATATTTGTCTGAAACAAAGATATGACTTACTTTGTACAAATATTCACTTGCGTTGTAAACTAATCTCAGCAAATCATAATAAACTCTTGTGAAGATTAAAAAGACAATATTGCACATTTTATAATCTGTCTCTCTTCTTATGCATTTAAAGAGATATGCCTTTGACTATATACAGATATATAATGTATTATAATCATTGTGAATATGACAATATGAGGTCAGAGATGCTTATTAGTTCCAGAATTCCAAAATCAATAGAATTGCATTGTTCTAAATGCAATTGCATTGTACATTCAGACATTTCACATATGTTTTAGACTTTATTTGGAAATATTGTTTTCAAACACCTGAACACATTTGTCAAGTTTTACCTTTGAAGTGCTCACACACACTTGGCTAATGATGATCAGTTAATATTGTTTACTATCATATTAAGTACACATTAGCCATTTTAATTGTATATATTACTTATAATGAGAATATAAAGATAAATTTCTGATTGAGATTCAGGATTAAAATTCATAAAATTAAAAAAGATCCAAAAAGTCCATGTGTTTAAAATAACATTTGCACAATATAGTGAAATGTGTAACTGAAAGAAATAATTCTCAGATTGTTCAAAACATTGTACATCTGAACTTATTGTACATCTGATTAGAATTACAATTCACATAGGTGATATTTAAAGTGTGTTATCCCTATATGTTATCCTCTGGCTTCTCTGCTTTTTAGATATAAATTTAAACCAAATTGTCATGGAAACAAGGACATAAACATATACATGTCCTCACAAATGGGTGATCCTCTATAGATTTTCATCCTGAATACCCAACCATAATCAATGGAAGAAGGGTTTACGAAAAAACTGACGACTGATCTGTCGGTCTTTATCGTTAAGATGAATAGATACAAAATTAGAAGAGGAATATAAAATTAAAAACTAGGAATCCAATGACTACAGTACAAGGTCATGATTAAAACGTGTTTAAAACATTTTTAAACTTCTGATCAGTCTCTATATACTTAGAAATATGTAGAATTTGATAGTATATAGCCTTAGCCTAATATCAATGTTCTGTGGAGATAACCAGAAACTAGCATCTATAGGATTTTCTGATTACAATCATGGCATCTAGTATTATACAGAATAATATGGCCCATGTAGCATTGGCATGGTAATGGGTAGTTATCATCAACTTCAAAGTTTACACCACCATACAATCCAAATAGTTTGTGCTCAGCTTACGACATTGATTGCTTTTCTGTTTTACCAATCATGGTTGTCAATAATTTGTAACCTATTATTGAGATCATACATTGATTTAAAATCTGGGTCTAACGTGAAGGGGATTGTAGGCCCAATAAGATCTGGCAATTCATTGATGTCATTTCCAGAACCTTCTCCACTACCTCCACTGCCTTCATCATTGTCTCTGTTGTTCACATCAAAATCTGGAAGAAGTTCATCAGGCTTTATATTTTAATTCATATAAGTTCATAAAGAGTGATATTATTATTGTATATAATGTGGCAGAAATAAATATATTTAATGTCTTGTGAATTTTTTTAAAAATCTTTGATAAGGGACAATCAAGTCTATAAACTAGAAATTGGCAACTGACAGAGAAGCAAATCCCAATGAACAAAAAAATATCCTTAATCTGTATAAATGTCCAATATAATATTTACCATCTACTCTACCCTTGATTTGCAGATAATAAGACAGACATGTAACTAAATGTAACCATAGTTTGAAGAGATCCCTAAAGTATAGCGAATTCTCGCTTTAGGTAGCCATTTTGAAATTTCATAAATCTTCCCACAAAATATGACAAAAAATCAAATCAAGTTATTTTCCGGACAGATGTTCAGAGAATGGAGGGATTCACTAAATCCTTATTGAACTTCGTTCATTGGGATAACAAGCTTCTCATGGGAATTCAAGAAACGAGACAAATATTTCATATTTAAAACAAATAAAAATAAAAACATCAAACTGAAGCATCTAACTGCAGCATTCAGGCATTAGCAAAAAAGCAAAAAAAAATTTTTAATAAATATATTTGATTTTGTATTTTTAATATAAAAGAAATCTTTTGAATTTGAAAGACAGAGATTTAGTCCTGGATTTTGTTGTTAGGTATGATAATGCCTGGAATAAGTGGAACATAGGATCTTGCTAATTTCTCCTAACCTCTTCATTGGATATTTCATTGACTAGGCTTTGAATAAAAAAAACTCACACCTTGTACCAACGTACCCACTTAGGTGGGTCACGATACAGTCTTCGAAGGATTCAATTTTTACTGTTTCAAAAGATTATTCTTAGTTGATGCTTTAACTTCATGTACTTATCCACTCATGGCATTTAAAGATGTGAAATTCTGATGAAGGATAAAATAAATAAAATAGCAAAGATAAACAATTCTGCAATCTGGCCTTATTTTATGACTAGACAAATGTTAGACCTATAAGACATACATGTAGGCCTACGAGTGCATAAATGCATCTACAATTCGGCATAGGAGATTGAATATTCTTAATATTTAAAAGATTGAACCCTTCAAAGACTCTACCATGCCCTATATGGGTTTTTTATACAAAGCCCATCATTGACTAGCATGACATTTCAACCATGAGATGCAAAACAACACCATGCATAGACCATCGAAAAAAGAAGAATGGTAGATGAATAGCATGCATGCAATGAAAACATAGTTTTTGTTCAATGTTAGAATGGCATTACTTGGAAAGAAGAAACAGCATTTAAAAGCAATCATGCATCTAAATGAGATAAAAAGCAGCATCAATGTGTAGCAAGTATTGAACAGTGCTGCTTGTAAGTATTCACAGATGAAATATTAGAGGGGTTCACACAATAGCAAAATCATATTTGCTACCGCATCTCTATTTAATTGAACTACTTCACATAAATCTGGTGAATGCTGGCGGATCCAGGGGGGGATTTTAGAGCCCCAAAAATTTTGTAGGGCCTCAAAAATGAGCCTTTTGGGCCCAAAAGTTTTCCCTGACTATAAATTTTCCCCCTTTCCCCCTTATTAGCTTCTGTATTGACTAGTGAATGTGTCATGGATTTTAGATAGGTTCTGCTAAAACGTTGTGTGAAACCTCTCTACAGAGAAAATCTCTACACTTAAACTTCCAGTTGTGACAAAACGTAGAATAACCCACATAAAAATGGCCACTTAATAAGCCAAACTGTCATTGGGCAGTGTAATACATGTATGCTACCAAAAGTATCAACAAAATCACTCCAGTACTTTTCCAGTTAAAGCAAAAAAACAAAAGAAATTGCCTGCTTCCCCTCCATCCCATTTATCTGATCATTGGGTATGATAAAGTAGAACAAGATGTATGAAACAAAGGACCAGGTATAGTATGCATGGCAAGTGATTTCAGATGGTCATATCTTTCACCATGAGCACTTTCTCAATTTAAATATGACATTTCCTATTAACACAATATGTTAAACTGATAATATTCAAGTTTAAGGGAACTTTCTAAATACCTGCCATTAGTGGTGGTACGGTGAATCGGCAACTTGAATAACCATTCTTTTGGACTAAAACGTCTTCCTTATTTATAGCATGTGAATCATGAATCGAAACCGGAAGTAGAGCTCACCCTCGTTTTGGTTTTCAAAATTTTGTTGAATTTTCATGTTTTGGAGCATAATAATGGATTGAATGGTAAGTTTTAGAAGGTTATATTTCTTTTAAAATATTTGAATTAATTTGATTAATCATCGTCAATTTGCTCCCAATAATCAAGTCTGAAAAACTGGATAATCCCACCACTACCTGCCATGTTAATTAACCTGCATCAGCCACCAGTGGTGAAACTGGTAACTACCTACTCACATCTGGGTAATTAGGCAATTCAATGGCCTCCTGTCAAGTACCCATAATCTTGGATGAAGAATGCCTTATTTACTTACTGAGAAAGGCAGTCTTTTATAAGGGGGAACAAGAAAACTGAAGCACAACATAAAAACTAACTTCCTAATTCCTAAAACTTGAAATAAAAGCGAAATCATAAAGAACATTTATACAGGGTGTTCCAAAAGTAACAGGACTGGTGCTGGCATTTTGTCAATTTTGCACTGAGTGTCTTCAAATTTTCACAAATTTACTTTGTAGTATTGCAACTAAAATTGTAAAGTTTCAGAAAAAAAGATGAAATGCGGTTAGAGTTATGGTTGCTATAGAAACATGACATCACAATACCCGGGGCAACTTTTCCGTGAAAATATGATATCTCACATTTTTGTATTACTGAACATCTCTTGTTTATTGTATCAGTTCCTTTGTTGTAAAGGTGTTGCATATACAACTCAGATTCAAGTATAATTTCATAATGATAATAATATTTATTCAATTTCCTGGAATATCACTATGTATAAGGGTCTGGACAATTCACGGTTGAGTTTTTGAAAAGACCCAATTTGAAGCCAGTCATCTACCTTGATAGCGCGCCTGCCCGCAGGTCACCATTTAAGACCATGCAGCTGTAGAGGAGCTAGGTCTTGAGTCTAAAACCATGCACCATACTCCTCTGATCATGCAATATCTAATGTTTACTTATATTGAGAATGGAATGCTAATCAGTGCTGTAGGACCTTTAAAGATGGGAATGACCTTCTCCAAATTGTCCAATTGGCCCTGCGTGACATGTCATCAAATGGGTTCACTCGTGTGTTTGGGTAATGGATACAGAGTACTACTCTTGTACTCACCAAAGAGGAGCCTATTTTTCAAAGTAGAGGATACATAGGAATATCAAATGATGTAAAACAAATGTAATTCCAACCAGTTGCTGCATTTCAACTTTGATATGGCATGTACAAAATGATATGGCATGTACAAAATGTTTAATGTCTCTGTAACTTTTTGCGTGAAATATTGCCCCGGGTATTGTGATGTCATGTTACTATAGCAACCATAACTCTACCCGAGTTTCATATATTTTGTCGAAACTTTGCAGTCTTAGTAACGATACATGAAAGTACATTATGTAAAATTTTGAAGACGATTGGTGCATATTAAACAAAATGCCAGCACCAGTCCTGTTACTTTTGGAACACCCTGTATACATGTATAGAGGTTATTTAGTGAGAAGATTGCTATGTAAAATGTATTCCTAGAGAAAATATGATATTGGCGGAAAATATCATATTGACCGATAGCTCAAGTGTCAATATACTTGAGCAAAATAGAGCCTCCAAGTGCGCTCCTTAGTGATTTTTCAATTACCTCTTCTGCACTAAGGTTCCAATACACCATTGGAAAGCTGAGAGTGTCAGCTTTAAGAATCCAACTTACATTCTAATTTTCGCTGAATGCAAAATTTGTTATTAACCCTTTCATCACCAAGGGGTAAAATTAAGAAATAAACAGTACATTGGAATCTTTAGTTCAGAGGTGGTCATTTATATCACCCTAGTTTGCTCACTAATATGATATTTTCCTTGGCCAATATCACATTTTGCCAAGGAAAAATTCATATTCCATCATGACCATGAATAACCTGTTTATTCCATATAGTTTTTTTTCTGAAACTAATTTATTTTAAAGTTTTGTTTGTCATCACCCAATAATGGTGACACAAAATGGCATGATTTAATATATACTAATAAAATATTTTCAACTTTTATTGATTTTTTATTACCTTTTATTGATTTCTATATTGCAGAATTATGATAGGTTTGTATGTGTACGTCACATATGTGTGTTACACCAGAAGTGTTAATATGTGCAGTCCAAATATTCTGAAAAAGTCAGAATGCAATGAGAGTGTGTTTAATTAAGTTTAAACTTTATTTTATGTTAGGTGATGATGTTCTTTTTAGTCAATGGGGGCACGATCAATTTTATATTGTAGATGGACTGGTAAAACAGTTTTTAACAAAGATGTTTACTTGTGACAGGGCCATAAAAAAATTATGGAATAAAAAGGTCAGTTCATGATTGATTTTCAATATGAATTTTATTCCAGAGTAATGTGATATTGACCGAGGGAAACATGATATGAATAAATGAGTGCAACAAGTGGGTGTCCACATGATATTTCCTGGGGTAATAACCTATATATATGTATCTACTTTGCTAATGATGGGATAAAAAACTAAACTCCCTTAACATGTAGAAGTGTAGTTAGTAGTGATAAAACAAACAATACCTGAACAGTGTGTAAAAGAGAGATTTGTGTATCAGGGATCACACTGTCTCTTTCAAACTGTTGCTGGATTGTCTAGATTTGATAAAGACATGTATATAAATTCATGTATTAGAAAAAGAGTGAATCAGAGTCCATTGGCGTCGGAAGAGGGAGGGAATTGGGGGCGACCGCTCCCCTAGATTGGTGTGTGCTTCACGCATGACCCATCCATACCCAAAAGTCGCCCTCCCCTCGGCAAATCCTTCTGACGCCCCTAGAGTCCAATGTATAGTAAAGCACAATATATAACACCACACACATATAAGAGAGTCATGCTAAGAATTAAAAGCAAGAAGTACACACATCATTGGCACCTCTGTGTTGCTATGACAACACATGTCGCTATGACAACAAATCAATGCCCCCTGGGTGGAATGGTTTCAACATTCTGCGCCCTCTTACAGTAGTGCCTAAGAAAAAAAGAAAGAATTCAGCATAAACAACTAAAGCATAGGCTTCAGATAAAAAGTGCAAGACTTTATGTTTCTCATGAAAGGATCGTACATGTGATCAAGAGGAAACACATTCCAATATCACTTAGAGTTAGTCTTATATAAAGCCTTACAACATAATACACTAATGAGTGCAATTAGGGTATCAATATAACAGCAAAAAATTGAAAAAAAAATTAAGTAAGGTTTGTATACATAGTTTGGAAAAATGATTTCAGATTTTTAACTTACCCTCCCCAGGCTGTTTGCTCCGCACTGTACATTCCTTGGCACCTTTGCATTTCCGTAGTTTGTTAAGCTGCTCGTGAAGTTGTTGAAGGACTGGGTAACTCAAGTCATGCACTGCATTACGTAGCTAAAAGCAGAAATATAAGGATGGTGCTGTAGGCGATGGAGATTTATAGTTTTTAAAATCTTGAACCCAAAAGAAACATTACTTTTTGATTTGTTCCATGATCTATGAGAGAGATGGATGAAACAACTAAGCAAAGATATGTTAAATAAAGCTGAAATTTGAAACATTGATTTGTACTCTTATCTATCTGGAATTCCAGTGGCTTTGTAATTAGTCTATATCATCACCTTATCACTTTCAATTCTCTGGTTTTAGAGACATACATGTATATTCAAAAGGATACTTTTAACATTTTGAGCTTTACCATACAGAATTTGTTCTTGTATGAAATTAAGAATGTACACTTACAGTATTTACAAATAAAAAACAATAAAAATCTGAGCAATGTTCCTCTTACCTGATAGGGGTCCTTATACATATCATAGTAACTGATGAAGCCAGTGATAAACTCACAATAGAGATGGTTGTTGGTGGAATTGATGGTCCTCAGACACCAGTATGTGTTGTTATTAGAGTTAGAGCAAAAACAGAATGGGCCCCCTAAAATAGCAAATACAATGATGTTTATTTGTCATCAGTGTGGGGACAAAAATATATGGCATTTTAAAGTGAGATTTTATTTTTCAATGCAGAGTTGTCAAATTCTGAGACAGGCATTTTCAAATTTTCATATATTTCTTTCAAAACGCCTCACTTGCCTTTTTCCTCAATTTGTTGGACTTAAATTTTGCATGATGCAGAAATGGATAATTTTGTGGTAGACATTTTAAAAACACCTTACTTTATTAGCCTGTTCCCTTACTTTGTCAGACTTCCGTGTGGAGTTGCAAAATTTTAAGACAAAATCAAAATGCCTGAATCAAAATTTTACATTGAACTCTAAATAGAAATGGGAATGCAGCAAAGTGAGGGAAATGGTTTAAGTTAGGTCTTTTGGGAATTCCATATACAAAAGATTTTCAACTCTAAATAGAAACATAATTATCAAAGTTGAAGAAAGTGAGGAAAATAATAGGGCAAAGTAAGCTGTTTGAAAAAGTCTGTTTCAAAAGTTTTCAGTTCTACTGAGAAATATATCAAAGATAAGGAAAGTAGTGGAAACAAGGCATTAACATAACAAAATGTCACCACCTGCAAATGATTACAAAATGGTAAAACTGTTACACTTGTTGTCCTTGAAAGTTTAACTTTTTTAGACTTCAGTAGGTATTTTGTGATTGCCGACTTGAAGGATCGAAAAAATTAATTTGAAAAATCAACTTCTTGACCTTTCGAAGGTTACTGAAGGTCAACCAAAGGTCAAACCTCAAGACAGATTTGAACTTCAGAGAACTTGTAAATGATTTTGAAAAAATTAATTTTTTTACTTTTTTGAACTTCAATATGTTGCCATATAATATGGTAACAGATATTGGCAGAAATGTGTTGGAACTCATAACATGTTTATATATACTGACAGTAAAAATCTGCAGTCAGTCTAAACAGTACTCGTTAAGTTATCGGAAGTTGTAAATTTTTGTTACAGATACCTAACTCTGGACACCCACCACCAAACACCATCCACAAAAAAGACTATAACAATATGTCACCACTCTTGTTGGTGACATAATAATGAAGGCCAAATGTTAGATGCATTGATAATGCCTGACATGACTCACATTATCACTGAGAAACTATGGCGTTGATAAATGAAAATAACGAAATAATACTGAAAACCTTACTTTTAAAATGCCATAATTTTTGTTCCTATATCATGACATATATATAAAAGATATACCAAAATATAATTATGCAACAACCATCGTAATATCATTTACTATTTTTAATACAGAACATAATATCAAATTTTAAATGTGCATCAAATATTGGCTTTTCAAACAATGTTGATCAGTAGTTTCTGTAAAATGTGAAACGCATTACACAATCTACAAGAAGAACTAAGCCCCAAGTAAACATGTCCAAATGCATATATAACATGTTATTCAAGGTGACGCTTGGACTAAATGAAAATTGAACAATTTCTATAAACAGCTTCAGTCAATATGTTGAAATGCATGCAGGAGTATAAAATAAAGGGACCAATATTGCAAGTCATGCAGAACACTGGAGTTGGAATGAAGCAAAAGTTGATGAAAACACACATTTTGCTGTCTTTAGTTTTTGTATAGCTAGTACTATAGACCACAAGTGATAAAGTGACCACAAGTGGGCTCTTGTATTGGTCATTCCACAAATTTTCATTAATAAATTAATTTAAAAACATTTATACTGGTATATGTGGTATCCCTAATTAAAACATTGATATAAACAAAGTACTGCACATGTATCTCTCGACATTCATTAACACAAAGCTGCTGACAAGAAAATCTGATGTTTTAAAAAAAGAGCTCATTCTGGGGCAGCCCCTAGAGTTGGCAATATTTGACCAGATTTATTGCCCCCACAGTGGGGAATTGAATTTATTTTGCCCGGGGGTAAGGAATTCAACAGGTCAAACTTTTTGTTAAATTCCGCACCTATGCATGGGTGGGGGGTTCACACAAACTTTTGAATCGTGCATAAAGCTTTAAATAAGGACAGTTGACTATGCTTATACACATTGATTCCAGCTCTTAAAACTTCACCATGCTTTTGATTTCAACACTCTTTAAGCAAGTCTGGGATTCTGAAATGATCAAATCAAGATGCTCCTGTAAAATATCAGTAGAAGGAAAAGTCAACATTCCAAGTATAAGCATGCAGGAATGAAATACTTCGGGAAACATTTGGTGAATTGGCATGCCATGTTACGTTTTATTTCATTTTATTTACTCTCTGAATGGGTAAATGTGCAAACATGATTATATTTAATCATATCATGCTTGTTATTCTTCTATGTTGCTGTAGTCAGCTTTTATGATACTGAAGAATTTGACTCTATATCAGCTTTGAAAGGATGTTCATCAGAAAACGTTCCTTCATTAATTTCTGAGATTTTTTATGTTGTTAATAGTAATGCACCATTGCAAACCAAAAAGTACCAATTTCTAAAGTAGTTACAATGCAAAACCAGACTTGGGTTGGAGTAGTAGGGCGGGGTCACACAATGTATGAGTCATGCATGTATGCACATCTTTCTCATGACATACCAAATGATCATTTTCTGGCCATCCATTTATTTTCTAATCAATGAATTTCTGTATTCAAATGTAGGATGAACAGAGGGAAAGTCATGAGAAAGTATACATAATCATGTTATTTGAATCAGAAAAATGTTCATACTGTCCCAGAGGGGAGAAACCTTCCAATGACGATCACTCATTATATGGCATTCAAGACCAAACCCTTGGCATTTGGGATGCTTTTTCGATTTAGTGGCTAGAAAGATCATACAAATTATGATTTGGATTCTTTATGTTCTTATACCTGTATACATCAGATACAAATGAGACATAAATATCATTCATACTCTAACTGATAACTTAATGCTATTATGTATCTGTAATATCATGGATGCCTATAATATAGTTCTATATTATAGGACTATATAGGATAATTCTACTTCAAAAGTGGAGATTACAAATATGTACATTTATTTAAAACCATACATTATAAATAAGCAGTGAAGCCGTAGCAAAATCTTTTCTTCTGTGATTATATTGCACGCTCATAATGTATCAATAATAAAAGAATACTGAAGCAAACTAGATAACAGCAACGTCAAAGCGTAGCAAAACCCATCGAACAGCCATGGCTGGCATTTTTCAGAAATCATTGTACTACTTTTTCAGTTATAGCAAAGATCATAAAAAAAGTTTTTATTAAATATGGCCACCATTTTCAAAATGGTTGCTCACTAGCCAAATTGTCATAAGAAAGTGTAATATGCTTCTAAAAAGTAGACAAATATATAATTTCAAAAAAACCGCACACACATACATGTAAATGGTGGTCATTTTGCAAAATAGCTGCCTACTAGCCAAAGTGTCGTTAGACAATGTCCCATGCTTATGACCTACCAAATATGAACAAAATGGCTCTATTACTTTTTGAGTTTTAGTAAAAAAACGTAAAATAACATATGTGAAAATGGCGAGCATTTTCAAAATGGCTGCCTTTCGACAGTATGCCGTGCTTATGATATTCACATATCAAACATGAACAAAATCACTATTATTTTTTGAGTTTGACACATGTAAAAGTGGTGGCCATTTTCAAAATGGCCGCGTACTCGCCAGAGTGTGATAAAACGGTGTGTGATGCTTATGAGCATTCAAATATCAAATATGAACATGCAAAATTGCTCCACTACTTTTCAAGTTACAGCAAAAAACGTAAAATAATGTGTAAAGGCCATCATTTTTCAAGATGATTGCCATCTACATTTGTAGCTTTACTAAAGGACGTATATAACTATCAAGAGCTTAGAAAACAATAAAAATGAGTTTTTTGAAAAATAAATCATCAATTTGATTCATTTTCATTAATTAAATCCAATAAATACGCTTTCTTTCTTTCTTTATACAATCTTTAATATCATATATAACTTTTTTACATTTGGCAGTAAAATGGCCACCATTTTTGAATTAGTTGCCATTTTGAAAATCCCCTTTCGAGAAGAACTTTTACCCCTATAGGACATACATAGCACATTATGAACAAAATCGAGCTGACAGTATCTTAGTTATCGCCCGGATAGACGGGTGGATGGACAGACGGATTGACTTACATATGGATGGCCGGACGGATGGAAGCATTCCCTATATCCCTCCAAACTTTGTTCGTTGGGATAATAAAGAATGGAAAATGAAGACTGTTAAACATAACTAGGAAACATACTGTATAATAATGGAGCTATCTGTTACATACATCACAACAATGGAAAGGACAATTTGCCCAAAATGCAGAATTTTAAATTCCTACTAATATATAATAATTAAGACCTTTTGTCCCAACACGATTAAAACAATAGTTTGTTTTCATCAAAGATTGCAACTTATTCTGAGGCCCATATATAATCCTTTTTAGTGAGATTTACTGGCTTTTTTATTTTACTTTAAATTCCATGTAAAAATTAGAAAGTATTCTGGAAGGCAAAAGCAAGATGAGGAAAATAATTTGATCAGAGATGATTTAGATGACTGCTAAACAATAGTTCATTTGTAAGGGCCTTTCCCAATGATCAAAGAAAGAAATCAACAATATATGATTTGGCTTATAGACAACTAATAATTATTTTACACCAATTAGATATACCCGTAAATTATACTCTTATACATGAATGTTAATCAAATATCTACAAATGTAATATCTACAAAATGTATTTCATAATGTTTCATAATTACAAAAAAAATATATAAAATTTGAACTTAAAATACCAGAATGAAGTAAAACATCAAAAGATATTTTATGTACTTTCAAAAGTATAATCAGTACAAAATTTACTTACAATTCCAGAGTGGAGCAGTTTTCCAGTGATGATTGTTATGAGTAAAACAGTTCATACTAGGAGCATTACAATCTCTCGTAGGATCTTTCTTTTTATTTTTTCGACGTTCACGCTTTCTTGCCTCTCGCAATCTTTGTCTCTCCATCTTGAGGCGCTGTCGTTTTGAGCGTCTCTGCTGTCTTCTGCCATCAAACGGACTCATCTCTATAGTATCCACATAGTCACTGGAATATTCATCCGAAAAAGCTGTCCCTTTATCTCCTCCAGTAAATCTGCAAACACAACAATAACAATGAGGGAGACCATGTGCCAATGGCAAACTAAGACAAGGCAAATGACATGAACGAAATCACACCATCAAAAAACTTTCAAAATGGCCACCAGAATAAAATGGCTGCCCAGAAGTCAGCTCTAGAACTTGATAACCTCTATCATGTGTGCAAATTTGGAGACAATTCGACAAGCGGTTTTCCTGAAATGCCGATGACAAGATTTATAGGAAAACCTTCAAAATGGCCACCAGAAAACAAGATGGTCACCCAAAAGTTATCCTCTATTATGTGTGCGAATCTGGAGAAAATTCGATGAGCGGTTTTCCTGAAATGATGACAAGATTTTCCGAAAAATATTCAAAAAATGGCCACAAAAACAACATGGTCGCCCAAAAGTTAATCAGCTCTAGAACTTGATATCCTCTATCATGTGTGCGAATTTGGAGAAAATCTGATGAGTGGTTTTCCTGAAATGGCGATGACAAGATTTTCCGAAAAGTATTCAAAATGGCCACAAAAAAACAAGATGGCCGCCCAAAAGTTAATCAGGTCTAGAACTTGATATCCTCTATCATGTGTGCAAATTTGGTTTTCCTGAAATGGCGATGACAAAAAAGCGGGACGATCGCGATCACAATCACGATAACGATCATGACCACAACTATGACGACTATATCCCACCGATGGTGTGATAAAAAACACAAACCACAGCCTAGTAGATCTTCCTGAGCTTTGACAAAATATTGCTATCTTACTAATAAAAATCATTGTTATAAATGGGTCTGAATCCCCAAGCATTTAAATATACAATTCCAACAAAAAATCACTAATGTGACAACAGTAGAATAATAACTAGTAGTTTGGGTGTTTAGCCAATAAATCTACATCCAAAAATCATAATTAATTATGATTTTGACTTAACCTCCACCTTTCTTCTCAAAATGAAATCTTTGCTGTTGATTTGTGCAGATGTAACTAATTGCACTAGATGGCAAGAGTATACTTATCAACATAAGGTCTATGAATACAAGAAATGGATGCAGACATTAAGCCTTCCCCTAAATGAGTTAAAAACATCAAGCCTGTTATAGAACATATTTAATTAGAATAACTATTCTAGTTTAATACATGTATTCATTTTTGATTTGGTGAGGCCAAAAGGGCATCAACTGACCATAGTCCTGCTGTCTAATGCAAGGAGGCTCGCTAACATTTATCACCCTCATTTAATTAAGAACCTCACTAAACTAAGAAAGTTAAATGTCTAGTAAATCCAATGCATTAATAAGTAACAGGCATGAACAATAAGATATTCACATGAAACTCAGAAAGCTAGGCCTAAAATAAATGAAACTGATCATATCAAATCAACTAGACCTAAAAAGGAAATATTGAAAATATCAATTGAGAACTAGACCTATAATAAAGAAAACAGAAATTAAAGTGGGTCATTGATAACGATCTAATTCTGAGGATCATATACTCTCTGAGAGACATCATATTTTGGAGAACTATAATATTTTTCACAAGCAAATATTCCACATAAAATTCTTCTATCCGGACAATGAAAACTATATTTTTTTAACCAAACTTTGTTTCAAAATGCAAAATGCAACAGTGACTAGTCACAGGTTATGTTTTAGGACCATTTAGGCAAATTTTCTCTGAAAAATGTCAAGCTATATTTAATGGTCCATGCCTTCGTACAATTTTTCTTTATGGATATTAGAAAGATGCTACCGACATTTCTCAAATGATATTCTGTAGAAAAATGTGTTAGCCTCTACACAAGAGAGACTTCTCATCTATCTTCGGTTTTGTTAACATTGTCATTATGCTCCACATTATTTCTACATTGTGTCCTGGGTGGTCCAAAAAGCTAGTTGAACAAACTTTCCAACTAGGGACAAGTATGGATTCATATACCAAATATGGTTTAAATGCAAAGTGAAAGCACATCTATGAAGCAATTAGTTTGGGCCATATATCCAGCGAATACAGAAAGCATATTTCAGGTTACAAACCATGGATCCATTGCTTAGCATGAGGCATATAGGTAGGAACAATATGTATAAATATATAATAAAACCTGTTAGTTGAGTGCTTTTGGTATTTCGAAATAGTGTTCAACTTGATTGGTGTTCCAGTTCCTCTTTTAGAGGTAACAAGACAGGTTTTACAGTAGAGTATTGGCAAATGAAATAAACCAAAATAATGTCAGAGATAATGATATGAATCCTATGTAATAATGATGATTATATGCCTACTGTTGTGAGTACATATAAAGCATACAAGAATCCAGCAGAACATACTGCAAAAGCCAGTCTACAACCAAACATAAGCTAAAATGATGAGATATGGGGCATCAAAGCACATATATAATGGAGTTATACCTCGCAGCTGGTGGGAATATATAATTCTCATGATATCGTCGATATCTGCGGTGTCGCCATTTTCTTGCCCTTCGATTAGCTCCATGATTTGAGATGAGGCCAAGGAAAGATGCCCTATGTAAGTAACATTGAAGAGATTTGGTCAATGTCATAAAATGTAAGAATACAAAGTTCTACTCTCCCCACTGTTTTTATTTTTTTATAGCCAATGGCACAAAAACTAATAAATACACATTGAATTAAGTATAATTTATTTACAAATTGTACCATTAGATTAAAATGACCTAGGATATGGAAAAAATTAGAAAACATCATAAGTCCATGGCATGGCAAGTGATTTTGGACAGTCATCTTTCACTTTCTGGGTATAAATTTTGACAACACGGGGAATTAGAAGAGACTGTGGTTGAATTCAGTGAGATAACTACAGCCCATGGATGTGGACAAATAACAAAGACAAAGTACAAAACAATAAAACTTGTTTGGAGCTGTAATTTTTACTACACACAGCACAGTGACAATGTCTGTCAGGTACTTCAGCTATTCATAAAATGATGTTGTTTCTTTCACATATGGAGATGTTTAATTTCCTTCAGTTACATTTTGCAGTTTGCAACCTTTCACCCTTTGCAGCCTGTTTAACTTTGATTCTGTTGAAACATGTGGGCCAAATAACACAATGGAACCTTGAATTACTTTCCAGACACAAGTTATGGCATTTTCATCACTCCTACAAGACTGGGTCTTGGCAACATGTTCCAGAAATATATGCCAGGATCATATCTTATCAATTTAATGAGAGAGAGAAAGATGGACGGATGGACTGACAGATGGATGGACAGACAGGCGGACTGACGGAGGGCTTCACTATATCCCTACCGAACTTGGTTCGTTTGGATAATAATGTGTATTCCATACCTACTAAGGTTCTAGGTAAATAACGAGCAGGAATATATACTGTATCTAGGGATCTATCACCGAGGAGCGGGGCGGGATGGATACAGCCTGTATCCATCCCGGTCCCGCTCTTTTCAATTTTTTTCCAAATTTTTTTTCAACATTTTTTTCAATTTTTTTTCAAATTTTTTTTTCAATTTTTTCACATTTTTTTCATTTTTTCAAATTTTTGGTAAATCTCGCAATCTTTAAGAACAAGAAAACGTGAACGGTATGTTTTGGAATTTTGGAACTTTATAAGGTATGATGTACCTAAAACCTCAGTAGGTATGAAATACATCTGTTATGTACGGTCGGTTTTGAATACAGGATTTATCCCGCCGGAAATATGTGTATCACATATTTCACATATTTCCCTTGGGATAAACCCTGTATCCAAAACCTCCCAGTACATAACCCTTATGTATAGAACTGACCCAAGTTCAGGGATAAGCCTGATCATCTATACAGATGTGTACACTGATGTCCTTACCATGGCTGATGTTGTCTATAATCCCTCAGACCCAACCAGTGGCAACAATAGAATTATGTGTGATTATACATAATCTAAAGACAAGAGCTTCACCATTTGATGAAGGATTTGATGTTCCAAATGGTTTCTAAACTAAAGAAGCATTACGTGGCCTGAGGACATTGATAGGGGAACCTCATGGATCATGCGCTAGTGAGGAAACAAATAAAGGAACTGGATATCACATACTGTGGCAAATGTGACATAAGGGATCTCCTATCAGGGGTTAATATAAGTTGAGAGACTGCCATTGAGGATCTAGCTCACCTAGAAGTGACTGATACATTCTGGTCAATTGTGTCTATGAAATCTAAATGTAACTGCCCGCCACCTTGTAGCAGCACACATTACAAAAGACAATGTCAAAGGCTGTATTGGCCATCAAATTAACACAGCAAACATTCTATGACACCTATGTGAATGCCAATAACCTAACAGCATGTCCAAATATTCTCTTCAAGAATCAAACCCCTACACAGATTAAAACAAAGCGACTTATACAGAAGAACTTCCTGAGGTTCAATTTGCATTTTGAAAGCTTTCAAATCGAGGAAACATCCCAAATAGCTGATAACACCATCACACAGATGATCTTAGACATTAGTGAGAGCATGGGTTTCTATGTGGGGAGCTCTGTCATCATTGTTATGGACTAAATAAGAACAATTACATTTTATTGCATTTTTGGTCAATTTCTCGTCCAAATGTCATATATACAAAATAAGAAAAAAGACTGAACATAAAATGCAAAAGACTACTTTCACTTTTAGGAAGTCTGCTTTGGAATATCACTAAAAAATCAATAGATGTATTCAATATCCTGTCTCGATGGCTATCAAGTGCCCATTAGGTCCAATCCCGAATGGATTTACTGTAGACATTTCTTAAGGTATATGTGTTATTTGAATGGCACAATACATGAGCTTAGGGTAAAGTATTAGTATTTTCTGGTTTGCCCTTTGATATAACAATAACAATATAGCACCAAAGGGTGCCATAAAAAGGGTTCAGCACATATTACAAATAAATTGTTTTTATACTACTGTCAAGATAGTGATTTGAGAATGAAATACTATATAAGTTTTATTACAAAAATAATAAATCTGTATTAACAATACAATGTTCTTACAAAATTTGCCAATCACAAAAAGATGTGGTATAGCTGTCCAATGCCCACTTAGATATTACTTAACTTTTCCTCATCATTCACTTACCTTTCAAGTTCGTAATCGTAATCTTCACAATTGCATTCTGGGTCTTCTTGTTTGGAATCTTGGACACCACCATTCTCCTCAATGGTGATCTCTGTGGTAGACTCGGAAATTGTAGTTGAGGGAGGCTCAGTACTGGGTTCAACAGCTACAGGTTCAGATTCAGTATCCCAGAAAAATACTTTCTGTTCCTTGAATATTTTTTTCCTAACATCCTGTGATAGATTAAAAAAGCAAACTAGAAAACAGCATTTCCAAGAAGTAGCAAATCCCCATGAATATGAGTCGTTGTAAGTACAATACAATATTAACCATCTACTCTACCCTTGGTTAGCACGTTATAAAAGACAGACATTGGATATACATCAGAATTTCTGCAAATTTGGGTGGCCACTTATGAGTATCAAAGGCACAAATCATGAAGACAATACAATATTTGTGATCTAATTTATAATGTAACCATACTTTGAGGAGATCTCTAAACTATAGGAATTCCCGCTTTAGGACGCCATTTTGAATTTTCTGAGGTATGAGTCAGAAAAGCAAAACTATCATAATAAACCAAATGCTTAGAGAATCAAGACATTACATGACAAAATTTCACCAACTAGTTGCTTAAAATATTATGATTTGTTTTTTACTTTGAGAAGGTCACAACAGTCAAATCTCAAATTTATAGTCAGATTTGAACTTTTGAGAACTAGTAGATGATTTTGAAAAAAATTGGTCAATTTGAAGCTAGTTGAAAAAATACCTTTTTTAACCTTTTTTGACCTTGAGAAGGTCATAGAAGGTCAAATTTTAAATCTAAAGTAAGATTAAATTTTCAGAAAGCTTGTAGATGATTTTGACCTTTTTTAACCTTTTTTGACCTTGAGAAGGTTATCGAAGGTCAAATCTTAAATCTTAAGTCAGGTTTGATTTTCAGAAAATTTGTGGATGATTTTGAAAAAAACTGTAGTCAGTCTAAACATTATTTGTTAAGTTATTGGAAGTTGTAAGAATTTTTGACAGATGCAAAAATATGAGCATAATATAGCCATAATTATACAATATTTGCATCTATTCTAAACTGCCTTTATTTGAGTATAATAAAATCTCAAAAATAACCAAAATTTTTATTACTGACCCCTGTACACAGTCCCTGGGGGCTGTGCCGTAAAACTCGGGTAATATGTCAAACAGATACACTTTCTGGATAATATTCATTACTTTGGTTTGAAAAGTTTCATGATGTTTTAAAGAGAGCAGATTCATGGACAGAGCCCGGGGTGAGGAATAGCTTTATTGCTCTCAGGGTGGGGAAATTGACCCATTCATTTGGCCCCAGGGAAGAGAATCTGACAGCCCATATGATTATCCAGACCTAATATAACAGCTAACAGATATAGAACACAGCAAACAAACCTTCAATTTATCAAGTGCCTCCTTGTATTCCTGTATTAGACTATCAATTTTCTCTTTCTGGTTCTTCCACTTTTCATACTCTTCATTGTTAAATATCTCACTTAGCACTTTCTTCTTGCATACAACCGTGTCATTGTTCAACACTCTGCATTTCTTTGCCACGGTTTCATTTTTCTCTTTGTTGCTAGTAGATGTTGCATTCAACTCAACATCAATAACCTCACTACCTGAAATGGTTAAAAACACCTATTCAATACACATTCTCACTGAGTGTGTGTACAGTAAATATTTGTGAATTCTTCTAAAAAGGTATATAAAGTTTGCGGCAAGGTGATTGGGAAACTACTAACTTTTAATTTGCAAAAACCTAGTGCTTTGATAGATATTATATTGAACATGGTATGTCTTGGATTGTACATGGAGGTCTTGAAATCATCAAGGTTATTACTAACATACAACATAAAGGCGACCCATCAACTATAACCATTAAAAATAAACTAGATACCTGATTCTTCTCCTTCTTCATTAATTGAGAAAGGATCATCAAGAGCACTAGTGTCACGCTTCTTTCGGTCTTTTTGCTCCCTTTGGTCTTGTAACATAAACCTTGCAGTCCTTTCAAGGTCCTGTAGGTCTAATAAACTACGTTTAATTCTCTTCTCATCTCTTCTATATCGTCTATATCTTCGCCTTTCAAAAGCCTTTTTCTTTAGAAATCTAGATTTATGATTGTCTGTAAATATAGCATACATACCAATTACACATACATATCAATTAGTGAATATGGCATCATATTAAGTACTCTTCCAACATAGAAAATACATTTCCAAACCATAAGGGTAAAACTGATTTGAGGCAGTACGTCATGTCATTATTTGCTGAAGTAATTTCATTCAGCCTATCATTACTTAATTCTCTGATTCTGATCATTGCATTTTTCTAATCTATTGGGTGTTTAGCTTTTTATTTTGCTTTTCCCTTTAGTTCAAAATTCCCATGATGCATATGGACATTTTTGTTGTGCAAATTATTCATCAGTATTAAAAAGGAGATAAAATAATGGATTACAGGGTATAGATGAATGAATGTTACCTTTAACATGTTGTTTTTGAAACAATCTCTTTTTCTTGTCTTTTCTGTTCTTTATCTTATCAGGTGACTGATACTTCCTTCCGCAATTACACTTTGGCACTGCCTCGTTAAATGCCTTGTCAGCCTGACGACACTTTGACATGCGCATACGCCCTCTATTGTCCCTCTTGCAAACCCATTGCTGTAAGATTTAAAGATATGTTATATGTTTAAGGTTTTCATTATCTTATAACGATGTAATAAACACTCTGGGCAAGTGAACACAGTGGCAATCTGTATGGAGAGATACTTAAGACAATTACAAAGTGTAACAATTGCAACAGATGTTGTTACTGAAACACAGGTCACCAAAATAAAATCTAGATCCACTTCTTGGTGGAGACATAAATGTTTATGTTTTTCAGCACAATCCTATATTTATATATTTTTCCTTTATTGGTATGACCTCTATATTTCTCTTTGGATAAATCCTTGATCAAAAAGCAAGTCACTTTACTCTAATCTACCCTACATGCCCTACCTCTAAAAACCTGATAAACTGGTGAAAAACAAGTATTCAAACCTGTTTGGCAGTACAAGGAGGCTTGTATTCCGCTCTTGCACACTCTAAATTCAAACGTTCATTTTTGCCCACCATGTTGTTATGCTCTGCCTCCAGCTTCTCTCTCTCTTGAATCTGTTTATTTGTAATCTTCCTACAAAAAAGTAATTCCAGTTATAAACAAGTATTTCAAATTCAATTTCACACTTACTTTCAACATTCAAGTCTTCTAACTGTGTCATTTCCGAAATTTGAATTCAAGCTTGTTTTTTCCAAGAATTACAAAAACTCTGATTGTCAGAAATCTATGAATGAATATTCAAGTTTATTATCAGGTGATTGATATTCTTTGGGTAACATTACTGTTTCTTGCATTTTGGTGAGTTTACTCCTTGGTGATATTAATGTTACTCTAATAATTTTACTCACCCTCTTTCTATAAGGAAAGTGTCTCTCCACACTTTTTTCTTCTTTTTGCCATTACTTTTACTGAAAACAAACAAAATATGTAGATGATGTTATTACGTGTACCTCGAAACCCAACTTGTTTCATAAATAGCAAATTTTCTTCCCTTTCATATGTGTTCATCCGCACAAGAGTTTTTCTTTGGACCAAAATTGAAGCTGGACATACGGACTAGCAGAATTTAAATTTCATGATTGTGAAAAATTAACCTGTGAAAGTTGGAACAATTTTGAAAAATCATTGAAAAGCATTGATTTCTGGTAGGCAGGAAACAACAGCAAACCTTGATAAGTTTTACCATAAATTTTGTATTTGTATTTATATATAATTGTATTTGTATTTATTTATTGACACAACCTAGTAACATATTACATTAAATACATTCATGGTATCGTCATGCTATGCTATGTTTATACAATTTAAAAAATATATATATATATAACTATCTATCATCTATTATCTATAATACTGGTTACATAGATCTTTTTCTGAGGCATACAGTTATGAAGTGTGAGATGTCGCTGAGGTTAGATTTGTAGTTCATTATGTGTAAAAATTTACTTTCATCAGTCATTTGTTTAAAGTTAGGAATATTATTAGATATCTTATCAAAAAGTGTTTGTCTTTCATGATTAAATTTTGCACATTTTAATATGAAATGTACTTCATCTTCAATTAGATTTTCCTGATTGTTGCATTGTATACAGTGTCTGATGTTTTTATGTCTACCAGCTTCAATTTCTAGTTTGTGGTCACTCAGACGTAGTTTAGTAAATTGTGTTCGATTGGCCAGTCTTTTTTCATTAATAAGATATTCTTCAAAATTCAAGTCGTGTTTAAATCTAGTGTAGGTTCTCAGTTTACTGTTTTGGTTTTTGCTCTGACCAGTCTGGGTTTTGATTTTCCATTGTGATTTAGTTAAGGCTGTAAGTTAATCTTTAACTTCTTTTATAAAATCATTTTTTGATTTTTGGGTTGTAAATATTATATTTTCTATATTGATGTTAATGCTAAGTAAGATATTCTTAATAAAGGAGAGCCATTTGCTGTATTTGAGGGATTTTATGTGGTTGAACACCTCAGAGGTTAGACTATTTTTGGTTTGGGTTTTAAGGTGCATCATAAAATGTGTACCATAGTTTTATAACAAAGAAGTACATGAGTTGCTACTTACTTTATATCAAATAAATTTAGCCATGACTTGCCATCCATGTGGGGTGGTACGGTTGAGCCGGACATATCAAGTATAGTTGGGGCAAGATCAAGGTTCAATACTATAGATGGCACCCTGAAATATATAAAATATCATCAGAAGTCAGATAGAAAAAGTACTGTGATATATAGTCAGTCCTGAAATAAATAATTTGAGATTTCAAGTCAAATATGAATTAGATTCCTCTCTAGTGTGGATATGTCTTCTTAAAGGTGGTGTACGAAAACTCCAAGCATATATACAAACATACAGGGTTCAAAAAACGCAACCTAAAGATAACGCTACATCTTGGAAAGTACTAATCCAATTATGTTCATTTTTTTCAGGGAAGAAAGAAGAGACTGTGTATGTATTGTATGGCTCCTTTTGTTAGTTGTAAAACATGATGCCTTGGACACCTGCTCAAAAGACATTAGTACAGTATTAGAAAAATATGAATAAAACCGAATAACTTTCTAACCAAAGTGTTTTGGAACTTCAGATTTGGCACAAATTATCCTCATTCAATGTGTGGTGAATTTGTGGAGTTAAAAATTGTCAAAGTTGTGGGGGTCAAAATGCCTTTTTAAGTCTGCCTGAACCAGGGCGTTTGACTGTGTTTTGAAAGCATTTCGACCATAACTGTAAAGTCCCTGGAGTGATTTTGATTTCACTCTTCAGATTTACCATGCATTGAATGAAGATGATTTGTACCAAATTTGAAGAGCCAAAACACTGTGGTTAGGAAGTTATTTGTTTTTTGTGGTTGCAGTCACCTCTTACTGCATTTTTCGTATTTTTTTAGTACAAATGTCTTTTGGTGTCCAAGGCATCATGTTTTAGAACTAATCAACTACAGGAGCTATACATACACAGTCTCTTCTTTCTTTCCTGTATGTTTATGGTAAATTCAGACATAGCTAACATTTTCTTTTGTGAGAATATTTTGCAATGTGTGAAAAGAATTGAAGCCCAAGACTCAATGCATTTGTGGAATGAACATTCCTTTCATGCTTTGTTTCCTAAGATTAACACTCAATGCACATCTCATGCAAATTTTGAAAAGCAACATCTTCAAGGAATGGTCATTCCTCATTGCACTGAGTCCAGGGCTTAAATCCTTAAATATCTTTCAGGTTAAAATGAGGCAATACTTACTTTGTGCCCTTGGGGATTCCTGGTCCTCTGACATAGAATGGCACTCTGACATCAAAGTCATATGGCATAGCCTTCCCCTTTAACAAACCATACTGGCCTAGATGGTAGCCATGGTCAGATGTATATATGAAGTATGTATTGTCAAGTTCACCAAGGTTCTTCAACTCTTCATAGACCTAGTAACCAATTGATAAAACAATGCTAAGCAAGTTTACATGTATAAGGTAAGACTCCAATAACATAAACGCTGCAAATGGTTGAATTGGCAAAATTAACAGGTAATGTGGATGCAAAGAATTTACATCGTAAGAAAGCACTCATAAATATCATGATATGCTGTTATAGACTTTAATCTCTGTTATGGGCAACTTTTGCAGTTATTTTCTATGGTGAACCCACCTTAATATATCCCAAAAGTGAGCCAAATCTTACAGTGTATATGTATGTACTGTGTATGTTATATTCAAACAAACACAAAAGGCTGGTGACCATTTCATCAGCAAGGCCTACCTTTTCCACAGCATCATCTACAGACTGCAACGTTTGTAGTCTCTTCCTTTGTAACATGTCTGTAAATTTAATATGTATAGGTTCCATCTTGCCTGTGTACTGTAAGATCCACTGTTTGTCTGGATTAGGAGCAACATTCCAACTTGGAGTTCTGCGATATATAATTCAATGGTTAGTTAATTACAGTATAACATGTACATTCTCTAAATGTATTTTCAATTTTATTAATATGTCAATTCACTTATCCACGGATGATTATATAAAATCACTAATTTGTTGAATAAGAGAAATTGAGACAATATTGGAACAAGTTGAAAAAATACCTTTTTGACCCTTTTTAACTTGAGAAGTTCATTGAAGGTCAAATCTCAAATATAAAAAATGGTCAATTTGAAGCAAGTTGAAAAATACCTTTTTGAGCTTTAAAATTTGAACAGAATCGCACACATACACATGTAAATGGCGGCCATTTTTCAAAATGACCACCTACTAGCCAAAATAAGACAGTGTGTCATGCTTATGAGCATTCACATATCAAATATGAACAAAATCGCTCTATTACTTTTTGAGTTATGGTAAAGAAAACTTAAAATAACACACATAAAAATGGTGGGCATTTTGAAAATGGCCATCTTCTATACAAAGTGTCATAAAACAGTGAACCATGCTTATAGCATATAAGGACCACTATTTTCCAAGATGGCTGCTATGTGTTCCTTAAATATCTGCATATCTAGGTTTATAATGTCCTATATAACCTTTTTTACATTTTAAACATATCGCTATTACAGTTTTATATATTGTACCTAATTTATCGTAAAATTGGCACTAAGGGGCGGGGTCAAAATATCGATGTTCATATGGAGACGAAAGTACTTTCGCGAGGGGGGGAGGGGGTTTTTGGGCACTTTCGTTGACCAAAAAAACATCGATAATTCGGATCTGATATACAAAAAATAATTGGACTTACCCACTTTTTCTGGCGCTATGTTCTGATAAAAAGGCTTGTTTTCAATAGTTCGTGAGCTTTTTTGTGTGATAGGTCCAAAATATCGGTAGATAAAGACGATAATTCGATCATTTTTCAAATAAATTCCGTACTTTTCCCTCCTCCTTTTGAAGAGTTCAATGCAGTTAAATTGCGAACGTGTGTTAATTCACCGTAATAATAACCCGGCAAATAGGATACGATTATTAATCAATGTTTTTTTGAAGTGACCTAAGCTTTCGTCTAGAGGGGGGGTGGGGGGGTTGTTGTCCAGACGAAATTACTTTCGTCTCCATATGAACATTGATATTTTGACCCCGCCCCTAAAATGGTTGCAATTCTTAAAACAATGGCCATTATGAAAATTGGCTTTCAAGCAGAACTTCTAGGCCATATGTATACAAAAAAAAAAGAACAAAATTGGGCTAATGGTATATGGGTTATCACCTGGATAGACAAACGGATGGATGGAGATGTTCCCTATTTCCCTCCGAACTTTGATGAGTAATAAAAAACATAAAGACAAACTTTGAAAAATATATTTAAAAAAGATAAGAGAGGGGTACACTTTATTCATTATAATGGTTAAAGATAATGAATTTTTTCCTTACCTATGAGTTGTAACATTCTCAAATAAATGCTGGTATTGCGGGGCAGCATCTTCTGGTCCATGGGGGGCAGGCATGCTGAGTACCATGGCAACAGGCCTGAAATATGACAAAATAAATTAAATTTTTTCACTCTATACAGACTATACTATGTATACGCAAACAAGTGGTGCGGATATTATGTGCGCAAGGTGCAGATATTAACGGTCAGTTTTGAATTTGTGATATTTCATAAACTTAGGCATGTTGGGTACTCAATTATAGTCATCCATTTGTAGAGGATACCTAATAAAAGGGAAAGTTTGTCTATAGTCATATTCTTCATTCTTTAACGAAGCAGGTAGAGGTAGCACATTTTTGTTCAATTTTTCCCATTTTGTATAACATAATAGGTCATCTCGATCATCAATATTTAATGAATGCTGTTTGAGCTGTGAAACAGCTGCATTATAATTTCAAATTATTTGCTTTGGAGAGAGTACTATTGCTTGATGTGTCGCTATGGAATGAACTACACATCTACTTACACAATTTCCTTTTTATTAGGGAACCTGTTCACATGTATGGATATAACTGAGTACCCAACATGCCTAAGTTGGCAAAATATAATGAAATCAAATTCAAAAATGACCGATAATATCCGCACCTTGCGCACATGATATCAGCACCGCTTGTTTTCGTATAGCACAGTCTGCATGAAGTATTTTTGGAACATATAATCCAGGCATCTTTAGGACCATGGTGATTAGAATTTATCAATAGAACAAAACATACTGCGTTTTGATCAGTAAGGCTCATATTTTACTTACTGCATCACATAAAGTTCATACCTGGATACCTAGAATAGGACCATGTATTGATTTCAAAATAAGTGCTCAGATGGTATACATTTATGTGTTGAGAGGAGAATCCTAAATAAACACAAGTGGCCTGAATAGTAAAAATATAATGATGTACCAAAGGAATTCTAAAATAACAGAGTTCTAAGATTAGTAAAGAATATACAACTGAGGATTCTGCAAGGGACAACAACCATTGAATGATGGCTTGAAATGGCACAGACTATAGATGATCAAAATACATATAAGACTCATTCTTTGAAAATAAATCAAAATATCATACAATGGGAAAAGTAACAAGATCAGATAACAAATAAACATAAAATTCTACTTTATAAAAGATAATCATGATTACATCAGATATTTTCTTTAAAATATGACACAAATCAAAATTCTGGAATCATGGAAAGCATTCGAGGCCTCATGAATAATTCATGTTGGAATGCTTGTAACATATTGGGGAAATCCCAAACTTAGATTAATCAACAGATTTCAGATTAAGTAAAAGATAAATAAAACCCCAATCCATGGTTTATCTCTCAATATGGACTACTTATTTCAGTAGAGTTCTACAGTTCCAGCATTTCCATATAATACAGTGTAAACTTCACTGCTTCTCTTTATTCCTTGCTTTTTCCACTTTCCTACTCTGTTCTGCCTTTAAAAACGTATATTACAACAAGACATGGATATGCAAAATGTCACCACCTACATTTGTTACAGGCATCAAACTCTGACACTAAATGCCAACTGCCGAACACCATCCACAAAAAGTTGGAGACAATGATAATTTGTTGCCACTTGTCATGGTGACATACCGTAACTAGAATAGATTGACCACACTAACCTGTTAGGGAAATACTGCTTTGACTGTTTCAGGAACGTCACACTGTCATTTGCAATAAGATCCGTAAAATAGTCCTTATAATAATTATCAAAATGCTTTACTTTACGTCCATTAAAATTGAGTGTGTAGTTATAAAACCTAGTGTTCTTGACAAGGCCGACCCATTCACTCCAGCCTGGTGGGATATATGTTCCATTATATTCATTTAAATATTTTCCAAAGTATCCTGGAAATAAATAAAAAATATATTTATGCTCATTCATATACATCTCCATGTATTTACAAAAATTTAACAAAAACACAAAAGTGTAAAACATACTATATACTGCAAATTTTCCTCCTGAATGCCAAACACTAATCAGTTGAAAAGACATGATTTTTAGACAAAAATCCAATGTGGCCACCATAAAATTTACCCAGACTGCAAAAACTAAGTAGTTTGAGATTTTCATAACATGAATCATTCCTGAAAATTTGATATCTATCTGTCCACTGGTTTGCCAGGAAACATGTAGACAAGACTTTACAGAGAATGACGAAAAACTACAAGCATTTCCAGATTTTACTAAGAATCATCCCTGAAATTTGAAATTGATTCCTAAAATGGTTAACATAAAAATGCGTAGACAAGACTTTACAGACAAGATTTTAGGACGAAAAATCCAAAATGGCTGCCTTAAAATTTACCCATAATGCCGAAAAACTAGTCAGTTCTAGACTTTCATATTAAGAATAAATTATTAAAAAAAATTTGAAATCGATTCATCAAATAGCTATCCTGAGAATAAGTAGACTTTTACAGACAAGATTTTAGAACGGAAAATTCAAAATGGCTAGCTTAAAATCTACCCAGAATGCTGAAAAACTGTTCAGTTCTACATTTTCATACTAAGAATCATCCCTGAAAATTTGAAATTGATCCCTCAAATGGTTAACCTGAAAACACTTAAACTAGACTATACAGACAAGATTTTAGGACGGAAAATCCAAAATGGCTGTCCTAGATTTTCATGAACATCCCTGAAAATTTGAACTGAAAATGTGTAGACAAGTGTTTATAGAGAAGATTTTGGGATGAAAAAATCCAAAATACCTGCAATAAAAAATCAGATAGGAGTTTTTGCCGATTTCTTTTTACAAAATTATTGCATAAAACTACTTTTAACAGTGACATGAGCTTTTTTTTATACAGGATACATAATAAATAAAACATAAAGCATACATAGTTCATGCAATATATCAGATGTATCTAATTCATCAAGTTGATGAATTAAATATGGGTGATATGGATTTGCACAGGGTTGGTATGACTGATGCTTGGTGGTTTGTGGAGCCTCAACTCACATTTATCCTTCAAGTTGATGATAGTGGAATTTTTAAAGCATAGCTCATTCCCAGCAGTGGTATTGCATTAAGAACTTGTTCCCACTCTCATTTCTTAATCAAATAAAGAGAAAGGAGGGTCAGGACACTGGGTCTTAATACATGACTAACCGATAGGGTAAACCTTTAGTTATCCATATTTAGTACCAAGAATGTCACTTTACAATCTATAGACTGATTTTTATCATTTTTTCACTTATCATTGAATCTGACCAGGCAGTGAAAAGTAAATAAGATAAATTGATTTAGGAAAATAGTAAGGATGTCAAAGCAAGGAAGTATCTCTTAACAACCCTTAGACTTGTTATGATCTAGTGCAAATAAATCATTAATAATTACAATTACCGGTTGGTGACTATTACTACTAAAATCAACATATCACAAAATCAAAATCTTTCATCACACAATCCCTACTATCTCTCAATACAAAAAATTTGATGTGGCTTTCAAAAAGTCAAAACATTAAACCTTGTTTCCATACTTGAATCTATATAGCTAATTAATGGTTCCCTAAATGACCCAGTCAAGATATTCAGATTCATCAAATATATTCATGAAAACCACAGATTCTGAGAAGGAAGAATTAAAGATAATAAATATTTTTGACAAATATTGATGCTCTGAGGCCACTTCCTCTGGTGTGATCAATAATAAATGTACTTGATATAAACCAATGAATAGCTAACAGAGTAAACTGTATTCTCTCTAATATAAGGGGTGCTATAAAGGATGGACATAGATTTCATTCAGGGTTTCTTCGAAATCTTTGGGCTCTAAATAAAATGTGGAATGGAGCAATTATGACAAACATCAGAAAAAATATAATATTGTTATCCAGAGAACTTAAAGGACTTGTCCCCTTGATTTTTTTCATGAGACTTACAAAATCTTATCACGCGGTAGGATCTCTTCGGGACGTATCGAAACCACTCCGTCCCGAAAAACCGTTAATTTGAATTTAAAACCTACCCCAGTGTTTGAAAATCAAGGATTGTGAGTCTCACACTTCACCGTTTTTCTTCAAACTTGTTCCGTACAAAGCTTCACAGAAATACCTTTCAGTCGATACATTGTTTTCGTGTACAAAGTACCTCGTTTTAGCGGCGTTTTGGTCCCCAGCTGTGAGATAAAGCAAATTTTCATAACTTTCAACTGTAAGTCAAGTTATCTCGCCAGTCTTTTACCCATTCTCGCCCATAATTTCAGAATGGACTCCCATTACAACCTTCCATCGCTACGTCTTGATTTTTGGGCATCAAACGCAGCAGTTTCTAAATCATCCACACATCTCTTCAAATTTGACCAATACGCCCCGTCATCTTCCACTACGCCCCGCCGAGTCTATCACTATACACGTAGAGTTTCATTCTAAAACAATTTGTCCATCGATGTGTCCGTTTGTAGGTTGCCATTGTCGATTCTAAATACCAATCGGATTGTGTTTTAAGATTTACCCATTCTTGTCCATTTTCAATATACCTATAATAGGGTGGTCCAAAATCTCCCTAAAATTTAGATTTCCCGATATTGCAATATAAAGATTTTAATTACTGAACAATTGAAAATATTTTTAAGAAACGTTTAAAGTGCCCTATCCTTGAAAAAATGTGAAAATGCGAAAGGATGGGTGATGTCAATTATATTATTTTCAGCATAACGTTAGAAACATGTATCATTTTATATGTTTCACGTTTCATAATGTAATCCAATGGAATCATACAGAAGAAAGGTTGACACACAACAGTAAAAATCTTTCAATTCAATTTTCAATTCAATTTATTATTCAATTCTAGTTTTCATACAATATTAATTTACAAGTGATATGAAAAGGACACCCCGAGGGGTGTATGGATTCCATGTTTTGAAAAAATAAAATGTGTTATACATAAAGCATGTCATGTTAGAACAGTTATTGTAATGTACAAATTTACAAAGCATACATTTTTAATTATCTTGATGTAACATAGTGGAAGTATGGTTCAAACTAACTAATAATGACTTAACAAATTGGACTTAAACTTTCGTTGAAACATTTTTATATGAATTGAGTTTCTCAAATCAGTAGATAAAGAGTTATAAATTGATGGGCCACTTGTCCCAATTGATTTCCTTCCATATTCTGTTCTAAATGGTTGAACAATCAAATCATTTTTTGATTTTGTGTCATGTGAGTGAATTGTTGATCTTAATGAGAAAAGACGGTTGAATTTTTTAAAAGGGAAATCAGGCGATTCAGAAAGTGTTTTTTGTACAAAGCTAGCTGTTTGATGGGAATGTATATCAAATACATTTAAAAATTTTAGCTTCTGAAATAGTGGACCTGAAGCGGCAAAGCTATCAGAATACGTAATGACTCTTAAGAATTTCTTTTGCAAAATATATAATTTCTGAATGAGTGTTTTTATGGCATTTCCCCATAAGATATTTCCATAGCTTAAGTAAGAATAAATCATTGAATAATAAATTGTAGTCATGGCATTCAAGCTCAGTCGATGTCTAGTCCTGTATACTATACCAATCAAATTAGAGATTTTTGTACATATAGCATTAATGTGAGGAGACCAGTGTAACTTTGAATCAATGATAACACCAAGGAAATTAATTTCTTTCACCTCTTCAATTGGTTGATTGTCAATCTTAAGGATAATATTCTTGTCGTTCAGATCTCTTTTATTGCTAAATATCATAAACTTGGTTTTTTCAACATTAAGAGTTAGTTTATTTGCCTTCATCCAATTTGAGACATTTTGTAATTCCTCATTCATTTCAATGACTAGATTTTCAATATTTTTGTCAGTAAGCGCAATATTTGTGTCGTCAGCATATAAAACAAAGGATAGTTTATTTGAGACGAGATATATGTCATTAATGAATATTATAAATAAGAGGGGGCCTATTACCGACCCTTGTGGTACTCCATATTCAACTGTATTTTCAATTGATCTATATTTCACATCAGTCTCTGTAAATTGGTCAAGTGAAACATTCTTCTTTGTAAATTCAGTGATGATTCTTCTATTTTCAAGGATAACTTGTGAACCAAGAAAGAGCTACTCCACGAATGCCATAGAATTCAAGTTTTTGTAATAATATTTTATGATCAACGGTGTCAAAGGCTTTAGTTAAATCAATATAAATACCAAGACTAGTTTTCCCTGTATCTAAAGACTTTCTAATATTTTCAATGAAATTTAAAAGGGCCATGTATGTTGAATGTTTTTTCCTAAAGCCATATTGGTGTAAGTATAAAATTTCATATTTTTCAAGAAATACGGTAACCTTATCATGAACAATTTTTTCCAACATTTTAGAAAATACACTTAAGATAGAAATGGGTCTGTAGTTATTAAAAATTTCTTTTAAACCTTTTTTAAATATAGGAATGACTCTAGCAATTTTCAATGCATCAGGAAATGTTCCAGTAGAGATTGACAGGTTAAAGATCTGTGTAAGTGGGGCTGATAAAGATTCTTTTAGTAATTTGACAACTGAGGGCTTAATATCGTCTATTGAAGCAGCAGAAGGTTTCAAAGATTTAAGTTGATTCTTAACATCAGTTTCTGTTACAGGAAATAAAAAGAGTGATTTATCATTTGAATTAATTTTTCTTAAATTTACCATTGGATCAGCATTGCTTTGAATCTTATTTGCAAGTTTATTGCCAATAGAGCTAAAGAAATTATTAAAGTTTTCAGCTATTTCAGCGCCATCTGTAGTTTGTCGATTATTAAGGTTAAATGTATTATTTATTTTTGATTGACCAGACTTTTTCTTTAAGATGGTGTTAATTAAATTCCAGGATTTTTTTATGTTGCCTTTATTTGCTTCAAATTTATTTTTGAA